GGAACTACTGAGAGAGCAGGAAGTGTAGCTTGGCAGTGTAACCTCAAGACCTGCTGCCCCCAGTGACCCACTTCCTCTAGCAAGTTTCCACATCCTAAAGAATCTGTAACCTTCCCAAACAGTGCCTAAGAACTAGGAACCAAGCATTCAAACACATGAGCCCAGGAGGGACATTTTCATTCAAACCACAGTAGTTTGCAGCCTAGGCTTCACTTTCACAACTTCACACAAGGGAGAGGACTCTGAACCTACCTCACATTGTGTGGCTTTTGTGGTTCTCTGGAACCATGGAGGTAGACTGCATGACCCACTCATTCTTAAGTCTTTGAAAGCATGCTTGAAAAATCACTACTACAGAAACAGAGCATAGACAATGCCAAGTTTTGTTACCAGCTTCAGCTGGCCCCTGGTCCCCTGGGACCACAGTTGTGTCAGCCTCTGGATGCTTTCCAGACTGACCCTAGCAAAACACTTCCCTAGGTGGTACCTTTTCAGCTGTATTCTGAGTTCAAGCTCTCAGATAAATTTTGTGTTTTCACAATGTGGAGACTTTGGTGAGATCTTGCACCTCAGGCCCCTTTGCTATTGTCTCATGCAGAACAAGAGGTTTCCCATGAACACTTAGAGCCACCAGCTGCCACCTTTCAGTGTGGACTCTAGATTTAACTTCCACATTTTTTGAGGTGGGATGGGAGAGGGGGAGAAGGAGAGAGGGACACACAGAGACTGGTAAAGTAACTCTCTCTAGGTCTTGCTGCATAGCAATGGCTAGCTTGGAACTGACTTTGTAGACCTCCATGGCATCATATTCACAGTGATCCCCCTCCTGCCTCATCCTGTGCCACCTCCTCTGCTTCCTTTGTTTTCTGACAGTTGCTTAATCTCTTTTTGAAGGAATTCTGATTAGGGATTTTATGGAATGTCTCATTTATGGCCTGGTCTGATGGCTCTTGATGGTTAAATTGGCATTAGGAGTTTTAGAGCAGAAAAGCAGAGAACTGAGGTGCTTTTAAGTCTCATACTGTATTAAAGGTTGTATGCTCTGAATAAGACATCACTATTAAAAAAAAAAGACATCACTATTGATGGAACCTTCAACACTTGAGTGTAGAAGTGTTTGTTGGATTTCTCCATTGCCCATTTTGTTTGTTTGTTTGTTTGTTTGTTTGTTTTTGTTCTTTTTTTTTTTTCAGACAGGGTTTCTTTGTGTAGCCCACTGTCTTGGAACTTGTTCTGTAGACCAGGCTGGTCTCAAACTCTGCCTGCCTCAGCCTCCAGAGTGCTGGGATTGAAGGTGTGCGCCACTATCACCTGGCTCTCTCCTTTCTAAATCCTCTATGGCCTTGTTTTGTTTCGTTTTTATTTCTTTGGAGTGAGTTAAGTCTAGCATATTCTGAAGAAATTCTCTTGGCATGTACATAACATTATTTGAAATTTTTTTTTTTTTTTGGTTTTTCGAGACAGGGTTTCTCTGTGTAGCTTTGCGCCTTTCCTGGAACTCACTTGGTAGTCCAGGCTGGCCTCGAACTCACAGAGATCCGCCTGGCTCTGCCTCCCGAGTGCTGGGATTAAAGGCGTGCGCCACCACCGCCCGGCGTTTGAAATTTTTTCTAAGGAAAATGTGTCCTTTATCCTTTGAGAGGTTGTATCTAACCAGTTCTGTAGTTGGTGGTTTTGTCTTACTTATATATTTATATATTTGTATTGTGCCTGCACGTGGCTGTATGTTCCTGTGTGTGCATGAGGAGATCTGAAAAGGGTATTGGAGGTCTCCTCTATCACTGTTCACCTGTTCCTTTTGGGGGCAGGTCTCTGCTTGAACTTGGGGTTCGCATTTTCTCAGCTATTTTAGAGTAGCAAGCCACAACAATCCTCTTTCTTCCCACTTAAGAGTTTGGGGTTCAGGTATGTCAGGGATGCCCACCTTGTTACATGGATTCTGAGATCCAAATTCTGGTCCTCAGGATTGTTCAGCAAGCACTTTTAACCACTGAGCCTTCCCTCCAGCCTCTGGTTTTTTAAACTTGGAGCATTTATTGTTTGATTCTTGACTGAGTACTGCCATGTTGTCCTCTTAGTTTGGGTAGTTCATTCACAAAACAGTATGGAACAGGAGTCTGATGTCCAATATTTAAATGTCTGTTTTGACTGGCACTCCAGGTTAGTTTGGCTTTTAGCATTGGTGTTCCAGTTACACTTTTCTTTTGTATTTGCTAAGTGTCCCAGTTTAGTTTCTGGTTGCTGTTATGAAATAACATGATAAAAGTAGCTTAGGAGAAAAAAGAGTTTAGTTTAGCTCACAAAATTACAGTTCAATATTGCTTGAAGTCAGGGAAGCAGGAACTTGAAACACATAGTCACATCCAGTAAAGAGCAGAGAGAAAAGGAATGGATCATGCATATGCTCAGCTTGTCTTTTCTACTTTTATGTAGTACAGGACCCCAAAACAGAATGGTGCCATCTAGAGTGGGTGAGTCCTCCCCAGCTCAGCACAATCAAGACAGTTCTCCACAGATACGTCCATAGGCCGACTGTATCCCCACAGGATTCTAGAGTCTGTTGTTAGCTTGATAACTAAAACTAGGAGTCACAGTAAGGCGGTCAAATTTGCCACAGGCCCACTTCTAAAGAATGCAGCATGCTGTGGATGTCTAGTTGCAGTGCTTCCAAATACTGGTGACCCTTTGTCAGCTCAGGTATCAGAGACCAAACAGGAGGTTGTTTTAATTATGGGCTTCTATTTCACATAGATTGTAAAAATTCTGGTCTCAACTCTTAGTAATTGAGGGTTTGTGATTAAGAATGTTCTGCTTAGTCTATGTGGGGGGCTGTTAGGAAGCTTCACAGGTTACATAATTTGTTGACTTTTAGGGAGTGGCGTGGAGTCTTTTACTATGTTAGCTAAGGCTGACTTCAAATTCTGTGTAGCCCGGGCTGGCCATGAACTTGTGATCCTTCTGCTTCAACCTCCCAAGCACTGGGATGACTGGTATGCACCACCATGCCAGCTCTAGATGAATTTCTGAAATCACGGTATCCAGATTCACTATCTGGTAGCATTTGCTTTCTCACGGATGGCAGTTTGTGACTCTATCCTCCCATGGTAGAAGGGTAAAACCAGCTTCCATGGGTCTCTTTTCTAGGATTTATCCCATTGCTATGGATTCTGCCCTGTATCTCCCAAAGTTCCTACTCTTAACACTGTTGTCTTAGGGGTGTGATTTTTAAAAATCTGAATTTGGGACAGTCCCCACAATCCTTCAAGAGAGGTACAGCCGGTCCTGCCTTTCTGAGTCTTGACTTAAGAAAGAATAACTTTCCCTTTTTCGTTTCTGTCTCTTTCTTTTGGATGCTGGCCAGAGAGTAAGCACGCTTTTTCTGGAATTTTACACTTTCTTATTCTTTCTCTGAAGTCCGCCTCCCTGATATTTGGCTGCTTTTTTGCTAGTGGCTGTCTACATGCTGACTGAACTCAAACAGCATAGCTTTTACCCCCTTGTCTCCATTTTTCTTCTCTGGGACAGTGCCAAGATTTACAAGTTGCCTGCCTTAAACAAAACAAAACAAAACAAAATAAAAAAAAACCTCTAATAAAATAAAAATCTTTAAGTTAAAGAAACAAATCTGAATTTTGGAGGGACACAGACTTTTAGATGGATGCCTAGTCTTTTGACATTGTAACCTGAAATTGTTACTTGCTTGAGAACCATGAAATTAAGTAACAATTTCTTTTTATCTCATATGTTTTAAGTAAGTTTACAATTTTGTGTTAGGCTGCATTCATGGCTATTCTGGCCTGCAGCCAGTGGTTGGATACACATAGAAGATACACTTCGTATTTCCACTTTATTTATGTTTTATGGTCCTGGAGGTTGAAGCCAGTGACTGTGGCATGGTGGGCAAGCACTCTATTACTGAGCTCTGCCTCCCCAGTAGGACTTGTAGATAGATATGCTTTGCCCCCAGTGACAAGTCCAGATCCAAGGGTAGGTCATCACTAGTTGCATTTTTCTTTTTCCTGTCCTTGGGGTCAGTCTGCCCTCTCATAACAGTAGAACCCTGAACTTAAAGCCCAAACTCTGGGAAGTTAGTTGGTCTGTGGCTCCAGGTCAGATCCTAGCTTTTGAATGGCATTCCTTTCACCCTTCCCGCTTTGTGCTGTATTTCCTAATAGCATCTTTGGTGATCTAGAGGTTTCTGGTTATCAAATTAACTACCTTGCCAACATATAAGATCTTGCTTTGTTTTTTTCTGTTAAAGGCAGAGGTGATTGAGTCTATGAAAATGTTAGTGGTCTGGATGTAGTTTTCATGAGTAAAGCAAGCAAACAAAATTAGAGGGACTAATTCCTGGAATCAATGATCAAGGATTGAGAGTAAAGCTGATTTTATATATTTCATTTAAACATGCATGCTCCTCCCCATTTTATTATGTTTTAGTAATTTAAGTTTCTGTAGTAGACACACACTCGTCTCATTAGAAAACCAACTTTTTTTTTTTGGTTTTTCGAGACAAGAGTTTCTCTGTGTAGCTTTGCGCCTCTCCTGGAACTCACTTGGTAGCCCAGGCTGGCCTCGAACTCACAGAGATCCGCCTGGCTCTGCCTCCCGAGTGCTGGGATTGAAGGCGTGCGCCACCACCGCCTGGCGAAAACCAACTTTTAATGTGTTTTTTTCCTCCTGAGGGAAATAAAATGCTTACAAAAATAGTTTAAAAAATAAAAAAGCATCAAGATTAAAAAAATTGACCAGGCGGTGGTGGCACACGCCTTTAATCTCAGCACTCGGGAGGCAGAGCCAGGCAGATCTCGGAGAGTTCGAGGCCAGCCTGGTCTACAGAATGAGATCTAGGAGAGGCACCAAAATTACACAGAGAAACCCTGTCTCTTGAAAAAAACAAAACAAACAAACAAAAAAAAAGATTTTAAAAAAATTTAGAACAATCAGAGTTTGGGAAATGCTCAAATTTCTTTTATATTCAATAGTTACATTAATGAATACTTATTTCAGTTTGTTTTATTTCAGCTTTGGCTAGATCAGAATCTAAGAGAGATGGAGGTTTTAAAAATAATTGGAGCTTTGATCATGAAGAAGAAAGTGAAGGAGATGCAGATAAAGAGTAAGGATATTTCCCTCTGATACTTTATAAGAATGAAACTTTTCAGTAGAAAATCAATTTATATTTTGTGGAAAGTTTTTTAATATTATGGTATCTTTTTACAGTAAGGAAAGATAAGGCAGTATCTTATTGGTAAATAATTTTGCTTATATTTCTTAGTCTTTAAAATGTATGTGTATGTAATTACATATGTGTATGTAATGTTTTCTAATGATTGAAAAATGATTAGTCAATAGTTTTCCAATTAAGTCGTCTTGACTCCTCTTTTTAAAAGGCAGCCTTTCTGGAAACAATTTCAAAAGCCACAATTTATCAAGCCTCTGAACTTTGTATGAAAGATTAAGTCTTCCATTTTCTTTGTCTTCTGCTTGTGAACCTGTGATCAGCACATTCACCTTTGATCAGATTTCCACCAAGGGAAAGCAGCACCAGTCTAGATGGTATGAATAGGCATTGTCCAGATAGAAGGAAAAGCAGTGTCGTATTTTGTTAATGTTCTTGGAATCAATCCTGTGATTGAAATTTTACAGAAGAGTTGTAGGTTTTGTTTTGTTTTGTTTTTTGGTAATACCATAGATAAGTGCAGAATTAACTAGGAAAGTGCTCTTCCATAGTGTACTTCTATTGCCTTTAATAAGAGTTACTGTAGTACTTTTGCATACTAATAATCATGTTGCAAACTCAATACTATTTTTAAGTTATTGGTTTACTGACTTCCTTTTCCACTGGCCAAAAGAAACAAGTTTGGGGCCATGCAAATACACAAAATTTTGGCAGAGCTATAAATATATTTTTATTTTTATTTATTTATTTACCTTTTTTGTTGTTTTTTGAACAGAGTTTCTTTGTATAATAGCCTTGGCTGTATTGGAACCTACTCTTTAGACCAGGTTGGCCTTGAACCCACAGAGATTCACCTGCCTCTGCCTTACAAGTGCTGGGATTAAAGTTGTGTGCCACTACACCTAACTATAAATATATTTTTAGAACTTTTATTTTCCTGGTTCCCCTCTATAGCCCAGGCTAGCCTTTTACTCAGTATAGCTCCGAGAGGCCTTGAACTTAGTTGCCCTCCTTTACCCTCTAGTGCCAGATCGCAGGTGTGCTTCACCACACTCAGGTCCTTACAAAGAGATCTTTGCACACATTATCATTCAAATATGTTAGCTGAATACTTGAGGAATTTCATGCCCATTATTTTAGGTAATTTTATTTGAAAAGAGCTTTGAACTGGCACATTTATTTCAAGGAAGTCAGTGTTTTGTGGTCATCCTTCTCTTTTTTTTCCTGGTTATTTGAAAAAAACTTAGATATTTGGTATTTATATAGTTTTGAAAAAATGGGACTAAATATGAAATTACGACAGATATTTTACCTTTCAGACATTCTAATACAATTTTTAGAAAAGAATTTTTGTATTAACAATGTTGATAGAAAAAAGTAATGAAGCAAAACATTACATTTTTATTACAAATAGCTTGAAGTTTACTGTATATAGCAGAATTATCTAAAAGATATATTTGATTTCTGTCCTGGAAGATTTCCCATGGTTATCTTTTTAAAATGATTTATTAAGGAGATGCACACGATGAATTGCACTTTACAACATTGTGTTCCTCAGGGATTTCAACTTTCTGATCATGTTGAGGTTGCTGGTGAGCTGTTAATGTAGTAGCATGATGGACATTGGCTCTAAGTGAAAGGTTGATGTCTCCAAGGGTGGTGTGTGACTGTCATTGTGCCATTACCATTGGAATTCCTTTCGTCTCCTTAGCTAATTTTCCTTCCCTTAATGGTGCTCTGCTTTTATTACTTCTCTGTTCTCTAAATGCCAATTCAAGACAGAAGAGGAAGTAGTGAGCATAACTAAATATAAAATATATAGCCTGAAAAACAAGATCATATGTTCATTTAAGGGAGGGGTAAATGGATTATCCTTTTTGCTCACTGCCTAGATTTGTTCATAATTGTGTTAAAAAGCAGCCAGCTGTATAATGTTGTGGTTATTTCATGTTGCCATGGCAAAGACGTAACAGAGGACGTATATTTGCCTGAGGCTTTGAAGAAAGGTTTGCTAATCCCCCCAGTTAGATGAGCAGTGAAAGTAAAGCAGATGCATTAATGTGTGGACTGTAAACTGTTGTTCAAGGTTTTTTCCTTTATTTTCTGTATAGTGGGGCAAATCTACTCAGTGTAGAAGATGAGGATTCTGAAACCTCAAAAGGAAAAAAGGCAAGTGTTGCTCTAAAAATAATATTTTCTTTTGTGTTATGTACTCAGAAAAAGTTATTTAAAAGATTTGTCTGAACATAATAATCTGTACCTTGTAATCCTGGCACAAGGTCAAAGCCAGTAGGGCTATAGTGTGAGGCTGTCATTTTTAAAGAAAAAGGTTTATATGCTCTTTATTGTAAGTCCTAGTGCTCCCATTCCTGACTCAAGACACAAACAGTTCTGATTTTTTTGTTTATCTCTGTAGAAATGTGTCTTAGTTGGGTATTAAGAAATAGCTAAATAACTTATTCGAGGAAGAATGGTTTTGGCTCACGTTTGTTTTTATTCATTGTTGCTTGGGCCTGAACCAACATGGTGGCTTCATACGGCTTCTGAAGCTTCTCATCCACTGGCTACTAGGAAGCAGACAAGGAGTGGGGGCAGACCTCTCAGTAGGACCCCAGGCCCTCCTCGCTCATGTGGTTGGTAGTGTGCTTACTGTCTGTCTTTCCCTGGGAACTTCTGGAGGCCATCTGTAAGCTTCCATAGAAATAGCTCTGGGACTGGGGAGATAGCTCAGTGGGTAGTGTTTGCTCCATGAACATGAGGACCAGGGATCTCCAGGGCTTTGCTCATGCCAAGCAAACAACTCTACAAGCTAAGCCTCATTGCCCTCCATCCTCAGGCGCTTGTATTATTTGGGAAACTGACTTGAGCCAAAAATATTCTGTTGATTTTTATGAACAGGAATGTTCTAACCTGTGAGATACTCCTTCATAAATGGCTCAGTTTATACTTGTTACTACTATATTTCCCACCCCTCAGTAATTTGATATTCTACTGACTAAGACCATAAATATTAAAAATTTCTAGGGGAAAAGAGGTAGATAGATATTCCAGATGTCTAAAATAGTAAAATAGTGTTTATGTTTTTTTTTTTTAAAGAAACTGTGTGGGGGGCGTGGGTTGGGGGGGTTGCATATGTGCTTGTGCTCCAAAGTTGAGTGTCTTCTGTGACTGATCTTTGCTTTATTATTGAGGCAGAATTTCTTGCTTAACCCAGAGTTTGCTGATTTGGCTCTTGTAGCTAGCCCGACTTTCCTGGGTATCCTGTCTGCTTTCCAATGCTGGGATTTCAAGTGGCCACCATGCCTGCCTGGCTTTTATGAGGGTTCTGAGAATCCAGACTCCACTCCTCATGCTTGTGTAGCATCGTGTCTTACAGTTTCATACTTGTGTGACAAGAAAACAATTTGTAAGCTAAATTTTGTGATTCTCCTATAGAATAATATATTTATGGGCCTGGGGTATGGTAAAGTGCTTGCCTAGCATACATGAAACCATAGGTTTGAACCTTGGCACCATATAAACCAGGTATGGTGGTGCATAAAGCAGAATCAGAGGTTCAAGTTCATCCTCAGTTACATGGAAGTTCAAGGCCAGTCTGGGATGCATGAGACCCTGTCTCAAGAAAACATTAATAAGCCATGTATGGTGACCTTTGCCTTTAGTACCAGAATTGGGGAGGCAGAGGCAGGGTCTCTCTGAGTTCAAAGCCAGCCAGGGCTACACTGAATACCTGTCTCTAAAACAGCCAAACAAACCAACCAAGATAATAAATAAAATTCTTCTAAAAAAAAAAACAAAAGAAATGATAAATTAATTTTCCTGGAACTAAATACTAAGTGTAACAGATAGTAAAAGCCTTTTTAAAGGGAATTGACAATATAATAAATGGTAGTTTCTGTGAGATCCATAGTTCCTAACTGTATTAGTTAATATCCTGACAAAAGGTGAATTAGGGGAGAAAGGGCTTCTTTTTCCTGACAGTTCAGAAGGTGCAGTCCAGATGGGGCAGGCACTCCACAGGAGTGTGAGGCCACCCTGGCAATCAGGAAGCAGTGATCACATTGTATTTGCACAGAGAGAACAGGAAGTGGGGGCAGATTATAAAAACTCAAAACCTACCCTTGGGGACATATTTTCTTTAGCAAGCCTATTCCGTTTAGAGCCTCCACAACTCTCCAGGCATCACAGCCTGGAACCAGGGGTTCAAACACATGAGCCTATGGGGATAATTCATATTCAAACCACAACATCATGAAACTAGAAGTACTGTTTTGTTGCTAGCTGAAATGATTTATCTTATAAACAACTTATAGGCAACAGAAGTAGGAAATATAAGAATTTTTCTTACATATATACTCTTGCTTTGATGATGACATTGGATTGTTGGTAGATATTTCCTCAAATGCTTTCTCAAAACAGATATTCATTTGAGACAGAGTATTGCTGTGTAGCCTATGCTGACCTTGAACACTCCATCCTCCTACCTCTTCCTTTCCAGTTCTGGAGATTTAGACTTGTACCACCATATCTGCCTTCAGAAGGAACTATTTGAAAACACACAGTTCTTTAATCAGAAGCATGGTTGAGGGCCTGGACAGATAGCACAGTGGTGAAGTGCTCGAAGACTTCCAATTTCAAACTCTCAATCCTGCCTCTGGCTCCCAGGTGTTCACAAACATGAATGTGTCTCTTTGTCTGTGCCACTGATTCTACTGCAGGTTTTTAATGTAAATCTTTTGATTATAGCATTCCTAACATGATAATATATCAGAATCACCCAGGAAGTAACCTCAGATACAGCTCTCAGAGTGAAGACATCTGTGGGAGTCTGTTGTTTTGTTTTGCTTTTTGGCTATGCCAGGAATCCAACCTGGCCTTTGAACACAGGAGGCAAGCATCTACCTCAAGAAAAATGAAAGAATGTCATTATCTTTATCTCAGTTAGCTCTGTTCTTTTTGCCAGTTTATTTGAACCTAAGAGACTTGGTTCTTTCTGTAGAGCAAATAGATGTACATTTACTTTGGGCTAGTGATGAAGACTATTGCCAGTTTTATCACTTTATCCCAGTCTAGATTCCATAGTAAGACCTTGGTGTTTTGTTTTGTTTCATTTTGTTTTTTAAAGAAATTAAGCTGGGGCTGGAGAGATGGTTAAGAGCACCAGCTGCTCTTCTAGAGGTCCAGAGTTCAATTCCCAGCAACCATGTAGTGGCTCACAACCATCTCTAATGAGATCTGGTGCCCTCTTCTGACCTGCAGGAAGGCATACAGGCAGAACACTATGCATAATAAATAAGTAAATCTTCAAAAAAATAAAATAAAATAAAAGAATGAAGCTGGATGTGGTGGCATATGGCTGCTATCCCACAGGAGTTGAGGAGGCTTGTTCTGAGTAGTAATCCTGTTGGGCTCTATACCAAGACTCTGTGTCTACAAGGGTGCGAAATCCCACTTCAAGGAGGTGTGGAAAGGGAGTAAATATGATCAAAATACATTGTATGATAGTCTCAAAAAATTAGTATTTCTTAAACAGAGGGAGAAGGAAGAAGATATTAAAAGAGATAGGAAGGCCAAACTGTGGGTAAAAGTTGCTACACGTGGAGGAAGAAGAGAATTGCATACATGAAATAAGTACATTGATAATGTAAAAAATAGTAAAATAAATACATAGTTTTCTTTTATATTGGAGCTGGAGAGATGGCACAGTGGTTAAGACTACTTTCTATTCTTGGAGAGGCCCTGGGTTCAATTTCCAGCACCTACACCCACATGTGCTCACAACTGTCTGTAATTCCAGTTCTACTGGATCCAATGCTCTCTTCTAGCCTAAGACACCAGAGACCTACACAGTACACATATATACATTTGGACAAAACACTCATACCCACTTTAAAAAATAAAGAAGAACTGAGGACCGTCGAGTCTGAAAGCAGCTTTTGCCTTATTCAGTGAACGGTACCAAAGATAGGTTGGTTAAATATTGGGGATCTCCTCAGGCTCTTCTTGTCAGTATGTTTATGTTAACATTTATATCTGTGAAGGCACAAAGACATTATCTCAGTTTGTGTTTGTGTAGGAACTTTGATACCGAGGCAAAGGCACATGTTTTGCAGTATTATCCTACTGATGGCAGCAGGTCTGTTAAGCAGTGGAAATGTTAGTTTTTGTTACTTTTTTTTTGAGGGGGGGGGCTGTTGGTTTGCTCTCTAGAGAGGAAACTAGCCTAAGATTCATTACCTTAATTTTTCTAAGTGTTTTGGGGGAGATTTATATGAAAAGAAAAACAATATATTCCCTGTTCCTACACATTTACATTGTCTTTAGGAGAAAGAATCGAACCATTTTCGCTCAAGTCTGTCCTGCTGCTGTCTTCTCACCAAACTCCATCCCCTCTATCCCCAAAAGCTGTGTATGTTTTATCTTGTCCGTCCCCTCCCTTCCCGTGCACAGCCCTCCCCACCCTTCCCTTTTCTTTGTTCTTCCCATTCCTCTTGGCCTGGAGCTCGCTGTACAGACCAGGCTGGCCTCAAATTTGTGCAGTAATCTTGGCTTCGCCTCCCCATCTCCAGAGTGCTGAAATTAGGCCACTATGCCCTATTGACATTTACATTTTTAAATAACATTTGTGTGGAAGTCGGGGAGAACTTGAAGCAGTCAGTTCTCTACTTTCACCATTGTGATTCCCTGGGGATCAAACTCCCAGTTGCCAGACTTGGTGACAAGTGCCTTTGCTCACCTAGCCATCTTCTGGTTTTCTAAATGTGTAGCCCAGGCTGGCCTTTAAATTGTGATCCTGCTGCCTCCACCCTGTGTGCCATCCTAGCTGACTTGTTTTTAACTAATGAGTTTCAGGTGCTGTTGATAGATGACCGACCATGCACACGAAGTCCTTTATTGACTCTAACATCTGTGGATCTTTTTGCAGTTAAATCAGAGATCTGAAATTGTGGCTACTAGTTCTGGCGACTTCATCTTGAAGACTTATGTAAAACGAAACAAAACCGACAGCTTTAGAACTTTGAAAGGCAACCCAATTGGACTTAACATGTTAAGCAACAATAAGAAACTGAGGTACATGTAAAAGTTGGATAAATTCTCTACAAATACAAAGATTGATGTGTAGATGCTTCATTATGGAGAAGGGAAAGGCAGAGTTGGACACTGTGGCCAGAGGCCTTCCTAACCCCTTCCTTTTGAATTTGTCAGTAAGGCCAGGACGTTGCATAGATTCTCTGAATCTTTAAAAAAATTTAAACACTCATTTATTCATTTATCTGTCTATCTATCTATCGTGTGTGCACGTACATACATGTGCCACGATGTGCACGTGGAGGTCAGAGAACAACCTGAGGGAGGGAGTTGAGTTGTTCTCTCCCACCATGTGGGTCCTGGGATTGAACTCAGGATTTGGCTTGGTGGCAGTTGCCTTTACCTGCTGAGTCACCACTTTAGGAGACCCAGTCTTTAGAAATTATTTTTTATGTATTTATTTTTGTGTATATGTGTGATGCAAGCATGCGTGCACATGTGCACTCTGTGTGGAAGCCAGACAGAATTCATTGTTAGGTGTTTTCTATTTCCTAACTTTTTTCTTTTTTGAGACCTGGTCACTGTGTGACCCTTGGCTAGCCCGCAACTCATTATGTAGATCAGACTGGCCTCCAGAGATCCAAATCTACTGCCTCTTTCCCTGATTGCTGCTGGTTAAAGAGATGCACTAGCACGCCTGGCCTGCACCTTTTTTTTCTTTCTTTTTTTTTTGAGACATAGTCCTCAATGAATCTTTAGCTCGCTGTTTGAGGTAGACTGTTTACCAGAGAGCCCTGAGATGTTCTCACCATGGCAGTGTTGGGGCCCACATGAGGTTTTGCACAAAGATGCTAAGGATCTGATCTCAAGTTCTCATGCTCACACAGCTATCGCTTTACTCCCTGAGCTGTCATTCAGTCCCTTTTGAGGCTTGAATTAGGACTTAATTGTAATGATTTCTGAATAAAGTGTGTTGCAAGAAACATTTTAGTGTATGACATGTCATACATTTTCTTTTATATAGGTATGGAAAAAAATGAGTCACAGCATGAGAAGTCTAAAGCAGTATAATATACTCACACTCACATACCTCCTGGTTCAGATCATCTCAACAAGGGTCTTGTTTTTCTCTTAGGATTTATTCCACTTCTTCAGATAAAACATTCCTTTCCTAGAGGCTATGGTAGTAAACTATTGTTACCCTAGGACTGAGCTATTAGTATCAGTAACATCCCATAAATGGAGTTGAAAATCACTCTTGTTAGAAATAGAAAAGCTACTCTGTCACTATATAGATAGCTAACTAAGATCTGTAAACAGCAGGTGACATTCGAGTTAGAATTAAATTTAGACTTTGGATTTCTACTCTAGTATCCTAGTTATTCTTTTCCCTTGAGAAGGTTTGAAATACTTGAAAAGATATTAGGAAGTCTCCTAGTAGACAATTTTAGATGTTAATTTGGTTTGTCTTGTTTCAAAAATTATTTTAGTGCACAGTTTTTATGTGTGTGCATGCTCAGATTTTAAAGGGTTATTTTGTCAGTGTGTGAGCAGGTTTTTTTTTTTTTTTATCTGTTCAAACTGTTCTTTGTTTTTGAATGTGCAGTGAAAATACACAAGCTACAGCATTATGTTCTGGAACTGTAGTTCATGGTAGACGCTTCCATCATGCTCATGCACAGATACCAGGTGTCAAAACAGCGGCTCAGAGGTAAGGACCTCATTCTCTTGGACTATCATTCCCTCTTTTTAAGTATTCTTTTAATCTTTTAAAGATTAAAAGATCTTTTTTTAATCTTTTTTTAAAAAAAATCTTTTCACCCCTTTCATGTGTAGAACTTGGCAGTTTTCACTGTCTTTGAAGAGTTATACCTCCGAAATAATTCATGACTTGTTATACTTTATTTTATACTTGCTTTTTAGGAAGTCACACTTTTGTGGAGAATTTAAGATTAGAACCATTTGCTGTATTTCTTTGTAGATCTAAGAAGATATTTAATGAAGCTGATAAATATCGATCTTACTGTACTAACTTGAACTAAATTGACCTAAGGAGCAAAACTAATTTTTATTAGTTTTCTTGTCTTACAAGATTTCAGAGTATCAAGCAAATCTCATTAGTTTTAAGTGTTTGGTCATATTACAAATTTAAGAGTTTAGTACTGATGTTGGAAGTACTGTTTCATCCTTAAAGAAGTGGTTGGGAAAAAGATTGATCTTTTAAAAGATTTTGAGTTTTTTCAGAATTTTTAGAATGTTAATATCTCCTTTTAATTGATTCAAGATTCTTAGGCTCTAGGATGTTAAACTATAAATACTTTATTATAACTGGTAACATTTATTTTTTGTACACAATTTACATAATGTTCTTTATTTTTAAGGTTGTTATTCATTAAAAAAACAATGTTTCAAACCTTAGAAACTTGCTATATATGATGTTTATTTAGATTTACTACAATATATCTTTGACTTAAAATCTTTAAATGTTTCTCATAGTTTAAGATGACTACATGAAAACTTTTGCTTTTCTTAAATATGTTACTGTAGTTTTCACACAAGATTCTTAAGAAATTCAGTTCAATAGACAGAAGTTACTGCTTACTCTAAAAATTTGCTTTGTTATAATACAGGGTACACAAACAAATCAGGCTCTCTGTAGACGAATTTCTAAACAGTCTTATTAAATAAGAAACACAGAGCCAAATACAGGGGTGCAAGCCATAGAGATCATAGCAGTAGCCGCCAACTAACCTTAGCTCACCACACCACCCGTCGCTTCCCAAGAGAGCCTCTTCCTGTCTAACCTGTGCCTTTATTGCCTTCCTGTTTTGCCTTTTCATTGGCTCTAACCCCAGACACATCACTTCCTCATCGCTGCCTGTCTATACAGACCTTCAGGTCTCTATGGTTGGTACTGGGATTAAAGGTGTGTGTCACCACGCTTGGCTGTGTTCTTGACCACACAGAGACTCTGCCTGCCATGTGATCGGATTAAGGGCATGTACTACCAATGCCTGACTTCTGTTTATGGCTTGCTATGACCTCTGATCTCTAGGCAAACTTTATTTGTTAACATACAAATAAAATATCACATTTCAGCACAGATAAAATATTACCACAGCTCTTTGGCCAAAATGAAGCACTAACATAAGGATAAAAAATAAGACATATGGTTACACAAAAAAATTAAAGTCAGAAAATTGAGTTGTGTTTTATACTAGGCCTTTACCTTATTGTATCTTTTTTTGTTTTGTTTTTTTTCGAGACAGAGTTTCTCAGTGTAGTTTTGGTGCCTGTCCTGGATTTCACTCTGTAGACCAGGCTGGCCTCGAACTCACAGACGTCTGCCTGCCTCTGCCTCCCGAGTGCTGGGATTAAAGGCGTGTACCACCACCACCCCGGCCGCCTTATTGTATCTTTTATGTGTATTGCTGCTCACTTCTGTAAATGTTAAGATTTAGTTTGTAAGAGCTAGTGTTTGTTGGTAAAAAAGTTGTTTTCTAAAAAACAGCAACCAGAATTAATTCATATTCCAAGACAATCCTGAGTCAAAATATCTTGCCAGTATGCTTAGGAACAGTAAAGGAAACTTTCAAGGTTTAGATGATCAGGATAGAGTCTGTCTGCTCGTGTTTCTCTCAAATTCCATGTAAGAGTGAGCATTTCTTGTTCTATGACCAGTCTTCTAAGGAATTTTGAACCCCACAGTCAAGTCATTGTAAGTTCTCAGTTTTATTTCTTCAAAAACAAAGGGATTTGTATGTTATGAAATAGGTATAGGTGAAGAATAGTGTATTGGAAGACTAATATGGCCAAGTCCCACCCTCTAAGATCAAATTTAATGAATAATGGTTAAAGACAGGAAGGTGAATAAATGAATCCAGATGTGGTGGCATATGCCTATAATCCCACCACATAGAATCAAGCCGAGGCAGCAAGAATGCCATGGATTTGAGGATATCTTGGGCTAGAGAATTTTATGAGGGCTACTGTAGAGGGAGGCCCTCCACTGCCACCCTGCCCCAGTGACGGGGGCTTAGGTGGAAGTTCAGTAGTTCGGATATGCAAATTGGCTGTGGAAAGAGCACAGCATAGAGCTGTCTTGCGGAGGATAGGACACAGCAGCCTTTGAGAATGCTTCACAGTACATTGACAGGCCTGAAGGAAAAAGAACTCTTGATGATTTCTCTTAAATCTTACTTTGAAATTTAAGAACTGTTACTAGTTTGGTAGTTCACAGAACTTTTTTTGGAGAGAGTGATAGGGCTTGTTTTTAAAGTCAGTCTCAGACACTGTATTCTAGTAATTTGTAGTTTTTAAGGAAGATTGATAATTCTTTTGCGGGGGAGGTTAAATATTACATCAGATTTGTATCATTTAAGGGAGATATTAACTTTATAATCTATTTTCATACTACTATTCCAAAAGTTATTTTATATATAAAAGATAGGCTCATACACTAACAGTGCTAAAGGAAATTATTGGAGAAAAATGAACTGCAAGTATTTAAAAGTCTGATTACATTATGGCTCCACCCCACTTTTAAGCAGACTTTAAAACTACACTTTTTATAGTTGTTTTATTTATAATTTCACTTTTTAATCAATTTTTTTCTTAGCTTTCTTTTAAGGGTTGGTTAAAACATCTTATAAGGGGAAAATAAATGTCTTTAAAAACATGTGTAATCTAGTGAGGTGTGGCACATGTGTGTAATTCACCATGTAGGATCATGAGTTTGGGGCTAGCCTTCATTGAGACCTTTTCTCACACACACACACACACACACACACACACACACACACACACACACACACAAGCATATAAACCATACAGGAGAAACTGGGTCCTAGAATGAGCAAGATGCAATTATTAATGGATGGCTCAACCTTGGGAGACATTTTGAAATCCTAAATCAAGTCATGAATATCAGAATTAAATCAGTGTCTTATTTTCCTCCTTTTATTTTTACTGTTTTGTTTGAAGATTTATTTTTATTTTTTAACTATGTGTCTGTGTGTAGCTATGTGCACATGAGTCTAAAAGTGCTCAGAGGCCAGAAGAGGGTGTTGGACCCACTGGAGTTAGAGCTGGAGGAGTTGTGTGTCCCTGATACAGGAGCCAGAAGTCAAACTTGGGTCCTCTGTATGAGCAGCGTCTGCTCTTAACCACTGAGCCATCTTTCTAACCCCTCCTTTTCTTTTTAAGACCACTAGTACAATATTAGTTAAAAGAAACTTTTCTTTGCTGTGTTGTATGAAATGGTCAAAAAAGAGTATAAGTTGACACTTTCAAAGTCCTGCTTTATTAATAATAACTTCTACATGTGTAATCTATTTTTATATATACATATACATCCTCTGGTGTGAAACTAGATAAAGCATACATTGAAACTTCTTGTGGAATGCTGTGACTTGTAAATTAGGGATGTGTGTGTGTGTGTGTGTGTGTGTGTGTGTGTGTGTGTGTATCTGAGGATGGAATCCAGGGCTTCCACTCCTATTGAGTGGCATCCTCTATCTCTAAAATGTACTTTTCTCAAAGATAAGGTGCTAATAATTTTACTTGCTGCCTCGGTTTATTGGGAAGAACCAAACCTGTTTTTTTTTAAATCTTTTTTTTAATTAAGAAAGATTTTTCATTCATTTTACATACCAATCAGAGATCCCCCTCTTCCCTCCTCCTGCCCCCCAGCCTCTCCCTCCCAACTCACCCCACAAAACCTATTTTTTTTTTATTTTTTTATTTTTTATTTTTTATTTTTTTGGAGACAGGGTTTCTCTGTGTAGCTTTGCGCCTTTCCTGGATCTCGCTCTGTAGACCAGGCTGGCCTCGAACTCACGGAGATCCGCCTGGCTCTCCTTCCCGAGTACTGGGATTAAAGGCGTGCGCCACCACCGCCCGGCTATTTTTTTTTTTTTTAATCTTTGTTCTATGTTCTACACTTTTTGTGTTGTTTACAGGTAAGATTTAAAACTTCAAAGCAGAGTGTAAACTCTGTTTTCCTCTTGGGATCAGCAGTATGACATTAGAAGTGTCTCACTTAGGTGTTCTAACGATTCCTAGGGCTGTAGCTTCCTGAGTGAGAGAGAAGCTAGGCTATGTTTGAACTTGGGTGTTTATATTTCCTTGACTTCAACAGGAATGCAATGTTAGCATTTTTCTGTCATCTGACAGATAAATTTTCTATACGTTTTTAGTAGCAAAGAAGCTTTCAGATATATTAGTATAGAAAACAGTTTTAATGTGTCTTTTGCTTATAGGAAAGTTTCTGTCCTTTTTTTCTTAATTTGTCAGATTGTACTTTTGGCTTATTTGTGTGCCCCCATGAAAGGAATGTAATACTGTTCTTTTGAAATTTTGTTAGTTAAGTTTTACTTACAATTTTGAACATCTAATCCTTTATAGAGAGCAAGAGTTTCAGAATGTGAGTTTTGTTTTATTCTAAATTGAAGGCTATAATTTTACTCGAGTGACTGATGTTTTCTTGAGTTTCCATGAATTGTGGAGAAATGTAGAACTTTTATATGTTGACTTGTGATAAGTGATTATAAACCTAGGTTTTGTCTTGTGTCCTAAATAACATACAATATATTCTAAGACTGTTGTGCACTAAGAAACTTTTTGTCTAATATAATAAAACTGAAATTATTGGAATTTTTTATAATTTCCAGGAAATATCATTATTTCTTGAAAATGGTATCTATGACTGCTATAAAATAATCTGTCATCGAATGCTTTATAGGTAAACCCTTTTGAGAATTTTTGGTTTTATGCATCCATATCTTCCTTCCAGTTAAATATTTGGCTACTTAGATTAATTTATGTTGACCAAAATTGGAAAAAAAAAGCACTAGTTAGCACGTAGTATAATGCAGAGTACCACTAGAATAAATTGCTCGTATTCATAGCTTTGCCTTGTTGACCGCGATAATTATAGCTGTAATAACATTTCAGCAATCAGTCTCCTATCTTACATTTCTTTTCTTTTTCATGTTCTAAGCAATCAGGACCGAAAAGAAAGGTAAGCTTAATGTTGATGAAATTAGAACATGGGTGTAGCAGTAAAATATCAGCTTCTATACTTTGAACAATAGCTTAAATTGGAGTTCATCACTAAAAGCTTACTATTTTAATGAAAGGAAACCTATTAATAGTACATTGTGATATTGGGTGTGTGAATAATGTTTCAGTATAATTCTCAATGCATGTATTATTGCATGGATGGTTATACATATTATGTAATATCTGACTAATTTTCTTTAAAAATAAAAATTTCAATGCCTTAATTGTAAAGTCGCATACAGTTAAAATCACCAAAATCTTTCCAGCAGGACGACTTGAGTAGGCTGAGACATGAAGAGCAGGCGATCAAGGAAAGGATGAGCTAAAAAGCAAGACCTGTCCATAGCCTGGAACTCACTATGTAGACCAGGCTAGATTTGCTAATACAGTTTTTGGTTTTTCGAGACAGGGTTTCTCTGTGTAGCTTTGCGCCTTTCCTCGAACTCTGTAGCTCAGGTTGGCCTCAAATTCACAGAGATCCGCCTGCCTCTGCCTCCCGGGTGCTGGGATTAAAGGTATGCACCACCACTGCCCAGCTGCTAATATAGTTTTACATGCTCTGTGAAATGGACTGGGAGCTTTTTCTTACAGAATAATTCTAAATAAAATATGTAGATATTGCTGTCCTTTGAGAGTGGGATAAATTTGTTGAGTAAGGGGAAAAATGGTAGTTTTAGAATAGAGAAAACTGGTAAAGTTTACGTTAGGTAAGAGGCCAAGGTTGCCCATGAGTGGTGGTTGACAACCTGTAATCTCAGTATTTGGAAAGCTCAGGCAGTAGAATCCAAGTTGTACAAGCTCAGTCTGGGCCGCAAGAGACCTTTACGAAGGGAAAGACAGCCATCACTGCACAGAGAAACTGTCTTGGAGGACTGGGGAGATTGGGAATGGGAGTGCATTCCTAATGCAGCAGTCAGGAGTGGTTGGTGTACCACCCCAGAGCTATGACTCCAGCCTGAAGACTACAATTTAAGGAAAGTAAGATTTTCTTACCAAACAGAAATACTTTTATATAAACAAAAAAGATCATTCTTGTGGGCAAGTGAGGGGGCACAGGGATAAAGGTGCTTGTCACTAAGCTTGACAACCTGAATTTGATATCTTGACTGCGTATAGAAACATTTTTATATTAAGCATAAGGGCTTTTTTTTTTCCTTTGTTTTGTCTTGTTTTGTTTTTGAAGACAAGGTTTCTTTGTGCACCCCTGGCTGTCCTGTGTGCCCCTGCCTTCTGAGTGCTGGGGTTAAAGGTGTGTGCCACCACCACACAGCTAAGGAATGTTTTTAGGTCTGTATTTTAGTATAATTTATAGCAGCTGATTTTTCTTATTTGTGTAGGAAAACGTGCAGGAAAATGTGAAAACCGTAGCTATAAAGTCTAGAATACAAACAAATATGTATAATACTGCAACACATTTTAGCATTGTGGGAATTACATGATATGTATGCATCCTCATTAGCAATGCATGGTAGTACAAACGTCAAATTCTGAAGAGCACAGTTCACTAATACAGTATATATGATTTATTTTTCAGGGTGTTACATAATTGTGGGGCTTTTGTTAATAATATTCAGCATTTCACAATACTTACTGTTTTTGTTGTCCATAATTTAAAATATAGGAAGCACAGAATTACAATGGAGATGTTACTATATTTGCATCAAGCTTTATTTTAGCTATGTAACTATATGAATCATGAATATTTTAAGCTAATATAGTATAGTTAGGAGCCCAAAACGTTTCTTGAGGTGAAGTTTCATGCAGTCCATGATGACCTTTAACTAACTGAAACTGAGGTTGACCTTGAGCTTCTGATCTTTCTGCCTTTCCAACTGCTGGGATTACAGGCATGTGCCACCATGCTGGGCTAGAAGTTGAAAACATGCCCTTCAAAAAAAAGTTAACTTTGAGCATTTAAAATTTTGTCTTTCACAGTTTCATACATATGAAGTATGAGCTGATCACCCCCCTCAATATCTTCCCATTTCTCTTTCCCTTCCTCTGAAACCCTTCCTCTTCCTAACAAGTACCTCCTACCTATGTCTTCTTCCTTTCGTCCGTCCTTCCATCTATCCTATTCCCTCTCCCCCTAGCATTTAATTAGAGTTGCTTGCATGAGCATGGGTGAGGGATTTCTTACTTAAGCAAGGAAAACTTGCCACTGGCTGTACCACTAAGAAATATTACTGCCCGTTCCCCCACTAACCATTAACTGCCTATGGCTCCTCAAGGAGATGGGACCCCATGAGCTTCTTCCCATCCATGATGGAATATTGATGGGCCCACTGCTGTGAGTTCTTGAGTACAGCTGCCCTCTTAGAGCTAGAAAATAACATTTCACACCACTAATCCCCATTCTCCAGTTCTTACAATCTTCTATCATTTTTTCCACAATGTTCCCTGAGCCTTTGTGTGGGTGTGGGTGTGTGTGGAGAAAGAGTGTGTGTAGATGTCATGTTTAGAGCTGAACACTCAACCGTCTCTTGTTCTTAACACTTGTTTCATTTGTAAGTCTGCATTAACTGTCATCTACTTCAAAAGGAAACTTATCTGAACAAGGCTGACGTTAGCAATATCCTGTGGGTGCAGACATAAATATTTAGAAGGCAGTTTGATACTATGTTTATTTGGCAAACCAGCAGCAGTAGATCACCTACTATGACCTATGACCTCCCCAGTCAAGGGCTTTTGACCAGGTCTGTAATAGCAGGCATGAATTCCCTTCTTTGCAGAGGACCTCAGATCTAACCAGTAAGGAGTTGGCTATCCCAGCTTCATTCACCATTAAACCAGTGGGCATGTCTTGCCTGACAGATTAGTATTATAGCTCACAGGTTCATAGTAAGATAGGGTCATTGATAATTTTATTCCTAGCATTCTAAGAAGATAATACTTTCCTGTACTATGAAAGCTAGCTTGCAGGGCTTCTAACCCTTCTTTTTCTTTCATCCATTGTCTTCATATATCCCAGACTGACTTGGAACTCTGTGTAGCTGAGATGACCTTGAACCTTTTTTTTATGATTATTATTATTAATTGTGTGTATATATATATATGTCTCTTCCTGTGGGTATGGGCACATGAGTGCTGGTATCTTTGCAGGTTGGAAGCATTGTCTCTTTCAACTCTTCCAGGAGCTGGAGTTATAGGTGACTGTGTGTGTGTGTGTGTGTGTGTGTGTGTGTAAGTAACAGAACTTAGGTCCTCTGCAAGAAAAGATTGCTTTTAACTGCTGAGCCATCTCTAGCCCTGACCTTGAATTTCTGATCCTCCTGCCTCTACCTCTTGAGTGCTAGAATTACACACACACACACACACACACACACACACACACACACACACACACACACACAAACACACAAAATACAGTTCTGGAATCAAACCCAGGTCTTTGTGCAGGCTAAGCAAACACATTCCATCCACTGAGTTAAATTTCCAGTTTTCTTTTTTCATAGTACCATTGCTACCACTGCATGAAAGGCAGGTCCTTTTGCCCACCCTCACAATTTATATCATCACAGATTTTAAAATCTTGGGAGAGTAGACATTGTTCACATGTTCCCGCTACTGCTCCAGTTACTGTTGCTGACACAGTTTGCTGGGATTTGATCCTAAAATTGTCATTTAGTAATTGTGGGGCATTGCATTGGTTAATCAACTTTATTGTGCCTCAGTTTTTTCATGTATAAAAATGTTGATATATGTAGCTTGAAAGGTTATGAGAATAAGGAATTAATAGGAAACATTTTTTTTTTTTTTTTTTTTTTTTGGTTTTTTCGAGACAGGGTTTCTCTGTGTAGCTTTGCGCCTTTCCTGGGACTCACTTGGTAGCCCAGGCTGGCCTCGAACTCACAGAGATCCGCCTGGCTCTGCCTCCCGAGTGCTGGGATTAAAGGCGTGCGCCACCAACGCCCGGCCATTAGGAAACATTTTTAACATTAGTATCTGGCACATAAGTATTCAGTGTTTGCTGATAGCTCTTTCAAATCATTGCTGTCGCCTCTTTTAATAGTATTTTCTTTGTCATTTTTATTTTACTGCTTTGACTTTTATGTGGAAATATGAAACCCTTGAAAGAATATTCACTTGTGATTTATTTGATCAAAAGAATTACACTGCTCTGAACTATTGAACACTAGTGTGAACATTTATAAATAAATGCTTATATAAAACAAGAGTATTTTTAGACACTCTTACCTAGGGTTGAAAAGTATCTCTTATATCTCCTGAGTTAGTGCTTCTTTTTTCCTTATGTAGTGATTTTTCTCTCAAGGCTAGCTACAGAACATTTTTGTTCTTTCTCAAAATTAGTATACTTAGATAGATATACTATTTAGGGCACTTATACTGAAATTATATTTACCATGGTTGTATGTTGAGGCAATTGTGGTAGCTTATGATTGTATTCCCAGCACAAGGCAGGAGGATTGCCAGTTTGAAGGCAGCCTGTACTGCCTAATGAGACTCCTTCTAAAATAATGATAATTGTGTATTAAGTTTGACAGAGTAGTTTAATATTTTAAGACAACTGTATTTGTAGCCATAATGTCCTATGGCAAGACGTCACTTGTTCTATAATTGACTTGTATGACACATTTTTTAACATTAATTCTTTTTGGTTCAATATTCATTTTACTCATTGATTACTTTTTAAATAATGAAAAACATGCAAAAAATAAAAATTGAGTTGTATTCAGTTGGGTAATTTATTCAAGCTGATGTGTGACAAGTCTTTTAATGTGATTTTTCATAAACTGGTTAAAAAGCAATTTCAAGAGAAAAAGGTCTAGACTTTGCATTTGAGTAGTAAACAGGTAGTGTCCAAAGTTATTGCTTTAGAAGCCAGCTAAAGGTAGTTAGTACCAGTTACTGGAGGCTAAGACTGAGGCTCTCTTCCATCTGGCAGTTTGAGACCTTAAACGAGGCACTTTTTCTAAAAAATAAAAAAAATTTAATTAAATGACTGCCTTGAAAAACCAATAATTTGAATTTGTTTATTGAATATGTATCCTAGCAGTCCACTGTTGTGGCTCTGGTAGATTGACAACTTTATAACGCCACTGCTCTCTAGCTGTGGTTTTATTTTCGTAATGCAGTTTATTTTATAGCATCACTTTTTAGCAGGACAAGTTATGGTTTCTCTGAATAAATTATTGTAAATAGTCCTTTGACTTTGTCGCTTTGAGAACTACATTATTTCCTATTTGAATGAAGTCATACAAATTTCCTTTTGTAGGAAAGAATATCCACCTCATGTCCAAAAAGCTGAAAACAACCCTGTAATGTTAAGTCATGTCCAAGGTGTAGGTAAGTGTACAATTTTGTTTGTTACCCTGGGAAGGGCTTTGAATTCCTAAATGAGGAATACAAATAGAGAGAATATAGATACTAGCTTTAGAATAGTGTCCAACATAATAGACAGAATATTGAAAACCATTTATGACAGATTTGAGATTTTTTATTTTAAACTGTGGTCTTATATAGTGAGGATGGTTGCACAATTAGGTGTGTACAGTTTTGAAATCTTTGGATTATGTTACATTTTTGTTAAAATCCAAGTATTAATTATAGATTATCTATAGCTTTAACATAGTTTTATATTAGATTATAACAGTTTTGTATTAATGCAAAAAACAAAAATGTATTTCATCATCAAATTGGTTTTCTTTATGTAAAATAGTGATTTGATTTGATTTCTTTTGAATGGGCATCTGGGGACGCATGTCATTGGGCTTGTGGAGATCAGAGGACAGCTTTGGCGAGTCTTCTTCCCTCTCTCCACCTTGTCAAGGCAGTCTGTTCTGTTGCTTTTGCTGCACTGTGCACTCCAGAGTAGCTGGCCCCTGAGCTCCCAGGCAGCTCTCCTTCCCACTGTATCCGACTGTAGGAGTGCTGGGATTACAGATGGACACTCTCAGGTCAGCTTCTCTTCTGTGCAGACCCCAGGTATAATTCCAGGGTTGAGCTTGCACTGCAAGTGCTTTTACTCTTCGAGCCATCCTGCTAACCCAGCATTCTTCTTTCTGTTTATTGTTTTGAGATCAAGGTTTCTCTGTTGCAGACTATCCTTTAAGTTAAATCCTCCTCCCTTAACCCCTGAGGGGGGTGGAACTTACAGGTGTGTGCTGCTAAGCTGAGCCTAATTTAAAATAGATGCGCTTTTTTTTTTTTAGAATTGTTTTTGTTAATTTTAACTGGGGTGGGGTTGGGGGAGGGGAGGCATATGCAGAGGCCGGAGGCTTCAAATCCTTAGAACTGGAGTTACAAAAGTTGTGAACTTCCTAACATGGGTGCTGGCAACTTAGCTGTGGTCCTCTTCAAGAGCAATCTCCACAGCCCCTCTAATGGATTTCTTAACATGTCGCCTCCTTGTTTACAGACAAGGCTTTGCTTGTTTTTAAACATGATGGTTCCTAGTGCCGAACTTTTGTATATGCATTAAGTATACCTCTGTTGCATAAGTAAAAGTTTTCATGCTCAGCTTCATCATTTCTCATTATCTTTTATTTGTTTTAATTTGGATTATACTTTGCAGTGCATAGTTATGTTAATAAATTGAATTTAGCAATAATGACCATCTTCTTCAGTGTCCACCCTGTTACACTTTTATTCTTTATTGAACACTGACTCCATTCTACTTAACTAAGTCAAATACATTGTATTTGTTATGTACCTATGTCCTATTTCTTGTGGAAGATCCCTCTAAATTCAGATTTTTACCTCCATTTTGTGCAGAAGAACAAATGGTGCCATCAAAGCATTGAATTATTTGCCTAGACTTCATAGAGCTAGCAATGGCAGCTGGCTTGAAACCTGGGTCTGTTTAATGCCAAATCTCTTACTCAGTACAAAGTTGCTTTGACCTTCAGAGAAGAACAATACAAATACTATTTCCATTTGACAAATGCATTACAGAGAGACAAAGTGATTAGATCCTCTAGTAATACTTTAGATGCCATTTAGCCAATCTGTTAGAATACTTAATGTTTATCCAACGACACTCGGTAATATGCAACAATATTCATTCAGCTGGGCATTGTAGCATACACCTTATATCTCAGCACTCTGGAGGCAGAGGCAGGTGGACCTCTGTGAGTTCAAGGCCAGCCTGGTCCACATAGAAAGTTCAGGCCATCCAAGGATACATAGTAAGAGCCTGTCTCAAACAAACAACAAAAAACTACCCAACAATATTCCTTAGATTTCTTTGTTTTTCACTTTAAAATAATTGTAGATATGATTATCTACTATTATTATAGAAAAATGGCAAAACTAATATAAAATGGTTCCTACTTATTCTTTATCCTTGTTACACCTTTTAAGTCAATACTTTTGTTAAAGTGAAGATTAGTATAAGGTGCTTGCCTGTTTGGTTATTGGGGTTTTGTTTGTTTTCTGACACAGAACCTCATTACATAATTCAGGCCTGCATAGTACTCTGTATAGTCTGAATTAGTTCAAACTACTGATCTCCTGCCTTAGCCTTCTGAATGATAGGATTAAAGGCATATGCCATTATAGGTCTGTCTTGTTATAAGACTAAATGCTAAGCTGTTGACCTTGTTTAGAAGTAACCTGTTTTCCATTGATGCCTTTCCCACATTGCAATTAGTTGTTTTCTTAGTTGCCTGGATTATTTTGACGACTACAGGGGAGTTGCTTTTGTAATGCCTCTTGGTTTATGTTTGATGATGATTTATATGATGAAGCTGCATCTCTACTGTTTTTGACAACACAGAAATGACGTGCCTTTTTTAGTGCATTCTATCAGGGATTGCATGGTTTTAATGTGTTTGGTTACTGGTGATGTTAGTTATGATCACTTTGTTATATATAGTAGTTTCTCTAGGGTTTCATCACTATAAAATTTGGTACTTAATAAAGTTCCCTGATAATGTTGAGGTAATGATTCTGTTTCTCCTCAACTTTTCACCATCTGATTTTATCATCCATTGGTGATGGTTGGGGGTACAGTTGAACTTCTCCAACAGCCTCATGTGGCTCAGCCTCAAACTGGCTATAACCAATCCTGGCTTTAAATTCCAAGCCCCTCTGCCTACACATCTGGAGTGCTGGTATTATAGAATTGTACTATCACCCATAGCTTCATTAGTGGGTCCTAATGAACCTGTTACTCATTCACACAACAGTTACTACTTGATTTTTGTCTAATGATAATTTTCTGTTTTCATTTATTTTGCATTTATTCTTCACCAAGATAGATATACCCTTTGATATTTGTAAGTTCTTACGGGCAGTACATATAAATTTTGGGACAATATTTGCTATTGAAATTATAAGCTTTGTCAAGGGGAGAAGTGCTTTTAAGAGAGTCTTGTATCCCAGGTAGACTCTTGGTTTCTTTAGTGCTGGACATCGAACCCAGGGCTTTGTGCATGCCAAGTAAGCACTCGATCAATTGAACTACTCCAGCCAAAGCCGTAACTATTTTGAGAGTAAGAAAAATTATGTTGAGATACTACCTTTTATCTTTAATTATATTAAAGGTAATGGGGCCTTCCATTTGCAGCTACGTTTGTGTTAGGCGGGTAGATATATGCCTGGTTATAGGATAAACTACAGTACTAGCATAATATTGCATATGATGCTACATGAAGATCACATTCAATTTTAGTATTTCCTTTGGAGATCACATGTCATTAGTGTCTAGCATAGTTCCTGGAATATTTTTGCCTTTAAAAGAAATCACTGTGGTACTGACAGGATGGCACAGTGGGTAAAAATGCTTGAGCATTTGTCTCTCAGAACCTTAATTTGATCCCTTGAACCCTCAAAGGTGGAAAGAGAGACTTGACTCCAAAACTACCATCTAACCTCCACATGTGCACCATTGTATGCACATGCTTGCACTCAAACACATTACAAGTCACCACCATCATCATCAAATGAATTTTAAAATTTAAATGAAATTTACCTTCCTTTTTTTTTTCCCTTTGGTTTTTTCAGACAGGGTTTCTCTGTAGCTTTTAGAGCCTGTCCTAGAACTCACTCTGTAGACCAGGCTGGCCTCATACTCACAGAGATCCACCTGCCTCTGCCTCCTGAGTGCTGGGATTAAAGGTGTGTGCCACCACCATCTGGCAAAATTTAGGTTCTTGATATCAAGATGATTTTTTTTTACATTTATATATTTGGTTCGTTAGGTGTGCGCATGTGTGCGTGCGTGTTTTCTCCTTCCACCTTGTGGGCTCAGGGGATTGAATTTAGCAGCACACACCTTTACTTCTAAGCCATTTTGCTTGCCTTTGGTCTTCTTTATTATTCTGTTTGCTCCCTTTTTTGAATTTAGGATGTATTTAATAGTGAGTTTTAGTAAGTTATAACCATAGTCTTTGCTAGCATTGATAAGCAGTTTTGTAATAAAAAGTTAAAGCTTATGAATTATTAAGTATAATTTTTTTTAGGTTTTTGTCAAAACACATTTGTTGTTTGTTTTGACAATATTTTAATTTTTCTAAGCATGTAGAATAGCATTTATAAATGATACATTAAAGTCACCAATTTTCCTCTGGCTTTTCATTTTGTTCTTTAAGCTTCCTTTTCTTTTTGCAACTGTTTTTAGTATTCCTCTAAAAGTTTACAACTGCTTGACATTATATGCTATTTTTTAATATGTACACATTTTAATTACACTTTCATGCAATTATACCTTAGGATTACAGCAGTCAGCTGATAAATCACTCCTTAATTCACATGTACAGAAGAAAAGTATCCTCTCATATTCAGCCAGTCCATTTTATTATCTTAAAACTTAATCTCACCTTTCTATCCCTGTGCAGTGAGCCTCTATAGCTTTGGAGTATATGCTTGCAGATTCAGCAACTATGATCAATTGTATTAGAAAAAAGAAAATTGCATCTGTCAAAATTGCATCTGTATTGAACATATACCCTGTAGCCTCAGGGCAAATGTATCATTAGCATTAGTTACTCAGAAAGAAATTGATCAAAGATTAACAGATAAAATAATGTCCTACAAATAGCCATTCTTAATATGGGGAACAAATTCAAAATACTAAGACACACTTAACAACATCATGTCAAGCTAACTATAAATGTAATTTTGTTACTTCTGCCTTTTAATGGTTCAGAGATGTACTGAGAACAAGTACAAACACACCTGAGAGAGAGAGGTGTCTAAAATAGTTCCCAGCTTGCTATCAATATAGATACTCTTCATTCTCAGATTAGCCATTCTAAGCTACAGATATCCTCTACAATAGCAATGACTAATTACTTCACCCACTAGTTACAATATTTTTGTTCAAAATAAAAATAACTATAGTGTCTTTTTATTACTTTATAAATCATTGGAGGATTAATTATTCTTCTTCTAGTCATCTTCAGACTTTTAATTATCCACAGCATGCCCATAGAGAGATTAACACACCAATTTACTAAACAAAAAGGGAGGAGATTGCTGGTAGCCATGTCAAAAATATAACAGGAGGCAAATGAAGTTCAGGTGTCAGCCCACTAGAAGAAAAACTCTGATGGGTATGTCTCGTTTAAGCAAGGCTTACGAGAATACAAACTCTAGAATGCCTTTTACTTCTGTTATGCTTTCACATGCTGCTGTCTCAATCTTTTCTCTGATATATTAGATGTAGGGGATCCCCCACTACCTGTATTGTAGTGTGTTTATCTCATGAAAACATCCTGATCTTCTGGGCATCTATTCTGTGGATTGTCAAACAGATGAGTTCTCCTTAAGCTGTATTTTCTAATGGACACAGTTTTGATGAATACAAATAATACTAGGATATGTTTCATAACTAAGGCCTATTGTTCCATGAAGCCCGTGAGACACTTAGGACCTGCTTTAGATCACAGCTCAGATTTATGATTTAGGAAAACATTTGTTTCCCGGAGCCAGGCAGGTTCAATTACCTTTAATCTTTTTGCTAAGATAGGAAGTCACAGATTTCTTGTACATCATTAGATGAAATAAAGCTTCAAAAGAGCTTAAATTAGACCAGATGCCTTGCTAATGGTTTTTTAGATAAGCATTCTCTGTCTTGTTCATAAGGACACATAACTGTGCTGTCCGGCTAGGTTGTAAATACAGAAAAGCCCAATTATTGCTGGCCGGCAAATTAGTCCTTGCACTCATTCCTGACCTCAATTTGTGAAAATATATTCTGACTAGTCAAGGCTACAGAGAATAATTTGACTCTGTAGCCCCTAGTGAGGGCTGCAGGTGTGTATTACCTGAGAGATTCTGTTAGAGTAGTTAATCGGTGGAGGGAAAGGGAACAGAAGAGTGTCTGGAGAGAACAACATGAGAGAATAAAGAAAAGGAACTGTTAAGAGTATGTGTGAGTTTTTTCCTTCCCTAAAAACTCTCAGAAAAGTTACAGCCTTGCTAGTGCCATGGTGTCCTTGCAAGCCCTGTGTGCAGCCTTGGGGCTGGTTTCCAGAGGCTGCAGTAATACCCTTTTTTGTTTTATTTTATTCACTAAACAGCACAGTAAAATACTCATTTTAAATATTATGTATATTGTTATATTTACTTGTATTTTAATTAAATATTACTGATATTTAAGAAGTGTTTGGCAGAAAACCGATACATATTTGAGTGGAATAATGTGCACAGATCTTGTGTTCAATTTATAAGATCTAATGAAAAATTTGTTTATTTTTATTGTAGATTTTTCTTTATGTCCATAATTGAGTTTAGTTAAAAAAAAAAAAATCTTGTGTAGGGCCTGGTGTCACAAGACTTTAACCCCAATACTTGGGAGGCAGAAGCAGGTAGATCTCTGTGAGGTCATGGTCAACCAGGGCTGCATGGTGAGACCCTGTCTCAATAAAACAAACAAATCTGAAGCAGCATGTTGTTTAAAGGGATTGAGGATTTTCTTGGAGGCACACTCTGTGTTTGTGAGGCACATTCAGCCTGTTCTGTTTACTCCTGAGCTCAGTTTCTCTGCCTTGGTCTTTCAAGTACTCAGAACCCATATCCTATTGAAGGCCATATTTTCAGACTATTTTGCTTTAAATTAATTTTGCAAGTAATTTCTTATATTCTAGACACCTGTGTTTATGTACTTTCTGATTTTAAAAAATGTCTATGTTCTTTTTTACTCAAGAGTAGAATATTACAGCACTTAGTGAACATTTGTTTAGAAATAGCAAAGTAAACTATCCCATAAAAAGCCCACTAACATCTGGATGCTCTAGACTAGCATGTTTCTCTGTGTAACCTCAGGGTAAAACTTTGATAGTTTGGTGTTTTTTGTTGTTGTTGTTGTTGTTGTTTTAAGTCTTTTATGTCCTTTGTCTGTAGGCTAAGTCTTCAGGTTCTAAGTTTATACATGACTCATTATCTCTATTTTAAAGGGTAAGTCATTTTCAAAGATGAGTTAGAAACATCATCTCTTCCCCTAAATTCCCCTGCTACTGACTCCCGAGTACTGGAATTAAAGGCATGCACCACCACACCTTACTAATTTTACACTTAAATGCATCATATAGTTTTGTCTTGGTGCAATTCATTAATCTGGTAAATACTTGTTCAGTTTTTGTCTTTTGTAGTTTCTGTGTGTTAAAAAAAATATGTGACTGCCAGGTGATGGTGGCGCATGCCTTTAATCCCAGTACTCGGGAGGCAGAGGCAGGCAGATCTCTGTGCATTCGAGGCCAGCCTGGTCTACAGAGTGAGTTTCAGGACAGCCAGAGAAACCTCATGTTGGAACCCCCCCCCCCAAAAAAAAAAAATATATGTGTGTGTATATACATATATATACTCACATATATATAGAAAGAGACTAAAACCTTATTTCTTACAGACATATTGGCAGTAATAAACTAGTACAAACAAGTATTTTATTATTAAATGAAGGCTAATAGAAATATAAATTGGGTGCCATGGCAACTATGGATTAATTAAATGACTAGGGTGGGACAAAGGCAGCTAGCTTCTTAGCAAAGAAGGGTATGCATTCATCAGATAAATTGAGCAGACTTTGCTTGTATGGAGAGGAACATATGGAAGAGAATAAAAAAAATACTCTGGATGAATGAATCTCTGTGAGATGAAATACAGAAACAAGACTGGCTTGTTCATGAAGTTTTGAAGTCAGAAGAAAAAAGGAAGCTGGGTGTGGTGGTCTATGGCTGTGCTAGCATTTGGAACCCAGAAGCAGGAGGAAGCTCACAAGTTTAAGGCCAGCCTGGACTACATAGTGAGTTCATACTAGGCAGTTTAACAAAGTTGGACCTCATCTCAAAAAAAAAAAAAAAAGAATAAAAGAAGAAATATTAGAACTATTTAGCAAAGGCGGGAGTATGCCAATAGAGCGGTTACATTGAAACATAATAAAGACAATTCTCTCTTATTTCTTGGGGAAAAATACATATCTAAACAGCTACTACCACAAAAAAAATCCACGAGTAGCCTAATGGTTAGTTTAATTTTACTTTATATAAATCTTTGTACCAAACGTTTGAATTCCTGTGTTTTCTTATTAGTAATCTAAGAACAAAGCTAAGTTGGAGAAAAAGGGGCATATGTAGTTTAGTACAGTGTTTCTGTTGCCTTAAATGAAGTAGTCTGCAGTGTGGAAATCCTGCTGAGAAGGGAAAACCAGGTAAGAGTAACTTGGACATTATTACTGCCTTAGTCTTAAAGGTTTGTGGTCTTTTGTTTGTTTGTTTTTTTATAGTGTGTGTGTGTGTGTGTGTGTGTGTGTGTGTGTGTGTGTGTGTGTGTGAGTGCGCGCACGCGCGCACTTGTGCATGTGCTGCTGTATGAATACACATGTCATTAGCGAACAACTTTCAGGAGTTCTTTCATCATGTGAGTTCTGAGAATCAAATTCATGTCGTCAGTATTGGTGGCAAGCACCTCTGCCCACTAGCCATCTGGTTTTTCTTTATCATACATGTTTATGCACTGTCCCATATTAACTAAAAATTAGTGTTGAAAATATGGACTTTAGCTCTGCTATAGCAAAGATCATGAGTAACTTATTAAATTTAAATTCAGTATTTTACCCCCTTGCTTCTTTTAGACCGTATAATGAAGAAGCCAGAAGAGTCGGAATCATATGTAGAGCCTGAAATTAAGAGGAAAGTACAACAGAAACGGCACTGTAGTACTTACCAGCTGTCTCCACTGTCCCCTGTCTCAAAGAAGTGTTTGACCCATCTAGAGGTAGGTAGAGAAGTTACTTTTCTTACTGATCACATAGCATTCTTATTACTATTTTAAAATCTAATTTTATGACTGTATATGTTTGTGAGAGTGTGGTCACATGCATGCCATGTCATAAGGTAGAAGTCTGTGAACAGCCTTTGGAAGTCAGTTCTTCCACTATGGATCCTCAGGATCAGACTCAGGTTATCGGGCTTGCAGGCTTTCCTTGCTGAGCCATTTCACTAGCCTGTTCACATTGTCTTTATTGCTTATTACATTCTAGGTGACTTTGCATCATAGGACCCAAAGGAACCTAGAGAAGTTATTTGAGTAAATGTTTCTGGCTTAAATAGTCCATTCTACTTGTCCAAAATATAGAATTATTTTCTGTAAATAATTTTATCAGTGCATCCCTGAAACATAATCTGGCCTATTGTACTCAGCTAAAAACTAAAGAGACAAAACATTTTTTTAAAAAATTTGTTTTTATTTGGTTGGTTTTTGTTTTGGGAGACAGGGTCTTATTCATTACCAGCTAAACCAAAACTCACCTTGTAGCCCAGGTTAGCCTCCAGTTCATTGCAGTCTTCTAGCTTTAGTTTTCAAATTGTTGATTACAGGCATGAGACATCATATGTAGCTATAAAATTTATATAACCTAGGGCAGGAGAGATGTCTCAGTTAGAAAAACACTTGCCAAACAAGCCTGAGGACTTGGGTTCAAATCCTCAGAACCAGTGTAAAGCCAAGTGTGATAATCCATGTATGTAATACCAGTGCTCTTAGGGCAAGATGGGGGGCAGAGACAGGAGAATCCAGTGTCAAAACAAGGCACTGTCTCAGATAAAGGACTGAAACCCAAGCTTGTCCTCTGACCTGTTTGCATTCATTCTTCTCTCTCCTTCCCTTACTCTTCCTCATCTCTCCCTTTTCACATCTCCCCTCTTTTCCTTCTCCCTCTCCTTAATTTCATCTTTCTCCCCCAACTCCCACCCCCTCCCTCCTCCCTCCCTTCTTTTCCCCATAAATACTGTATTACACACAAAGAAAAAAAAATTTTAATTAAAAAAAAAATACTACTTTGGGTCTGCTCAGTGTTTAAGAACACGTACTGCTCTTACAGAGGACCTGAGATCGGTTCCAAGCACCCAGCTTAGGCAGCTCACAACTGCCTGCAACTCCAGGTCCAGGGTATCTGATGTTTTCTTCTGGGCTCTATGGGAACCAATGCTCGTACATGCACATACTGCCCCAATATAGACATAATTTAAAAACAAAATAAACCTCATGTTAAATACTGATTTTAAACTTACTATCTGGTCCACAAAACCCAGTCCTTTTTTTTTTCTTTCTTTCTTTCTGGGAACCTAGGACATTGGCATGCTGGGCAGGTACCAGGTTACTGACTTACATCCTCATTCAGATTTCATGTAAACAGTGCTTGGGTTTAGGCTTCATTCCAGTGTCATATGTTGTATTTATTTACCACAACTCTTCCATCTGTTGTTTTGCCTGTATGTATGTCTGTGTGAGCTGTCATCTGGGTGCTGAGAATTGAACCAGGGTCCTCTGGAAGAACAATCAGTGCTCTTAACCACTGAGCTATCTCTCCAGCCCCAACTTTGGTGTTTTGTAAGGTGCTTAGGTCATTACTTCATAGCTCATACTGCATTTATCTGTTGTTTTATCACAATTATATATTTTCAATGTTTATCTGAGAAATAATGTGTATCTTCTCATTGTGCAGCGTATTGGGAGCCACATGGTGTTGATTTTCACCTTAGTTAAGACGTTTTCTTACACATTTCTAAACCTGCCCTCTCCCTTCCCTTTTACATGGGATCAAATCCTGAGCCTTCTGTATGTGTGCTTAAGCTTATACTTTACCATGAACTATAGCTATATTCCCAGGTCCATACTCATTTATTAGTAAGAGTTTTTAACACATGGTAGAAAATTGATTAATTGATTGGTTTATTTGTGTTTATATATGTGTTTGTGTGAGTATATGTTCACCAGGGCCAGGAGTGTTGGGTGTTACACAGACCTATGTTGACACACACATACACCAAAAGAGATGGTCAGATATCCTTCTTTATCACACTTTACCTCTTCCTTTGAGACAAAGTCTTTCTCAGGAACCTGGGGTTGGCATTTTCGTGCCTAGGTTGGATGCCAGCAAGCCCTAGTGGGAATACCCAGTTCTTAAATGGGTCCTGAGATGTGAATTTCTGGCCTGATAATAGAGTAGCAAGTGCTAGCTATTCTGCCCATATTTGGTTGTGTATCATGAGCACATGGATTCTTATTTTACTTGGGTTATAGTCTTTAACTTTAATGTGTTTTGAAGCTCAGTTGATTTCTACTATTGTTTGTGGACCATCCCTTCAAGCTGGTCCCTTTCTTTTAAGGGCTTCTCTATTTGGTATAACAAGGTAATCTATACTTGTGTTTTTTCAATCTCAGCCCAAGAGTCATACTTCTCTCCAGGAAGTCATTGTTTCTATTCATTGACACTGAGCTTCTGTTTGTATTCCTTACCATTAGACAGGGCTAGGAAATACATTATGTATGTGTAGTAAAGCCCTTGAGTTTATTTCGGTGTTTATCTTTTGCCCTTTTTAGGATTGTAATTCATTTTGGCCATAGAATTCTGATTACCATCATCCCTACTGTATTTTTATGTATTTGTTCAGTTTTCCCTTATTTACCAATCTCCCGGCTTGCCAGCCTAAAGTTGACTCAGACCATACTGGTGTCTCCTAAAAGGAGGAAGGGGAAGGAGGGAAGCTCCTTCTCATCACAGCATCCTTCTTCCCTGGGCTGGCTGGCAGCTTAGAGCCTCAGAACTGCTTTATGCCTAAAGACCTTCTTTGACTCTACTTCTGTGCCAGTTGATCCTGTTTCCCTTAGAGAGTGGACAGATTATAGACAGTCTCTTTGTAACCTTTAATTTACAAACAAGATTAGTGGTTTATCTTTCCTTTTTTTTTTTTTTTTTTTTTTTTGGTTTTTCGAGACAAGGTTTCTCTGTGTAGCTTTGTGCCTTTCCTAGAACTCGCTCTGTAGCCCAGGCTGGCCTTGAACTCACAGAGATCCGCCTGGCTCTGCCTCCCAAGTGCTGGGATTAAAGGCGTGTGCCACCACCGCCCGGCTATCTTTTCTTTTAAGACTGTAAGACTCTACACTGCACTGCTTTTAAGAAAACAGGGTGATGGTGGTGGTACACACTTTGAACCCCAGCACTCAGGAGGCAGAGGCAGGCAGATCTCTGTGAGTTCGAGGCCAGTGTGGTCTACAAAGTGAGTTCCAGGACAGCTAGGACACAGAGAAACCCTGTCTCTAAAAAACGGGAAAAAAAAAATGTGGTGATATATTGTGTACCCTAATAAACTTGCCTGAGGATCAAAGGACAGAGCCAGCCACTAGATTAGACATAGACGTCAGGCAGTGGTGGCACACACCTTTAATCTCAGCACTTGAGATCTCATGCCTTTGCTTGGGAAGCACACACGCCTTTAATCCCAGGAAGTAATATGGCAGGGCAGAGAAAGGTATATAAGGCGTGAGGAAAAAGGAACTCACTCTCTTTAGGCTGAGGATTTCATAGAGGTAAGAACTAGTGGCTGTTCTGCTTCTCTGATCTTTCGCTTTCACCCTAATATCTGGCTCTGGGTTTTTTATTAAAAGACCATTTAAGATTACAACAACAAAAAAAAAAAAAAAAGAAAGAAAGAAAGAAAGGGAAACCAGGATCGTTGACTTTAATATAATTGAACATCTTTTGGATACATAATAAGAATGACATTGTTTGAGACAGGCTTGTTTTAATTAAGTAAGGTTTTTCATGTATAGAATCTTAGACATAGTATGCAATATTAAATTTGTAGTATTTTCTTGTTTGTTGGAGTTTTGAGGATCAATCTTTATGTTGAAAGAACCTATCAAACTACTCCCCTAACCCTGTAATTTGAAGTTATTTAACTTTGTGAGTTTTTTTTTTAATGACCAAATGGAACAAAATTAGGTTTTAATCAGTTTTTCATAAAAGATTATAATTATGAAAGTTTTTACTTTACGTGAATAAAGTAAAAGTTTAAACTGTTCAAGACTATAATCCCATCATTGATCAGGGCAAGAGAGGCAGGAGGGTTGCTCCAAGTATAAAATCAACTTGATCTACATAGTGACTTCCAAGGCAGCTGGTGATTCATGGTGAAACGTTTTCTCAGAAAATAAAAAATAATGAAGTGAAGGAAGGGAGGTTACTATACCTTAGGAAAACTAAATAGTATTTCATTTTGAGATTCATTTTTATTAGTTTCTTTTGGGCTTGGGTTTCAGGAGCTGCACTAGGGCTGAGCTTTATTCCCAGCTGCATTTGCAGGTGGGGCATGTGTATGTGCTACATGTCTGTCTGTCTTACTGTGCGGCCCAGGCTATCCTTCAACTCCACTCTTCTTCCTCAGCCTTGCAAGTGCTGTGCTTACAGGTGTGTGTCACAGTCTTTGCTTGGAATTATTTTTATTTCCTTGTTCATATTTTTAGTTTTGCATATATGTCTGTGTATATGTGCTTGTGAGTACAGGTGCCCTCAGAAGCCAGAGGTGTCAGATCCCCATGGAGCTAGACTTTATAGACTATTTTGATCTATATGGGAACTGAGCTCAGATCCTCTATAAAAGCAGCATGTGATCTTAACCACTGAACCATGGCTTGAAATTCTTAACCTCTCGTTTTTATCATTAAAACTTTAGCGTCTGATTCGGTTCATTAATTGCATTTTGTTTCTGATTGCTGCAATTTTATGATGTGTGTATGTCTTAGGTGATGAAAGGTGGAGTTATACTTACTGTTTTAGTGTCATTTTTCTAGAAAGATTACCTAGAATTGCTGTTTTTCCATGTACTTTTCTTTTAAATATGTTTTATTTACCTTTATTATAGACAGTAAAGTTGAAATCAAGCACTTGGGGTGTTTCTTTTTTGTTTGTTGTCTGGCTTGTTTGTGGTACTGAGAATCAAACCTAGCTCTGTTATATGCAAAGCAATGTCTCTACCTTTCCTAGTTTTTTCCATTTTGATTCTTGAGGATAAAAATGAGCTTGTGATAGCTAACTGCTGGACAGGATGGCCTTGAAATTTTTCCTAGCATTCTGTTGCTGACCCCCAAATCGCATGACTGATTCAGGATCTTAGGGAGGCCTTAGGAGTGATGATGGAAAAACGAAGACTTCATTTGGAGGCTTTTGATGCTAACTTAAAATACCAAAGTGTTTTCTCTCTGTCTCCTTTTTTTTTTAACATAAGGTATCTGAACAGCGTGAACGTTGCCCAAAATGTGGAAAAGAAAAAGAAAATCAGACCAAATGCCAAAGTTGTGGTATTGTTTTTCATAATGATTTGCAAAGAAATTGCAGACAAGCTGTAACTTTGAATGAACCAACTGGACCATTATTAAGAACGTCAATTCATCATAGTTCTGGAGGACAGAAGTCACAAACGACAGGATTAACAGCTAAGAAGTTTTATGGTAACAGTGTGGAAAAGATTCCAGTTGATATTTTGGTGACTTGTGATGCTAGTAGACATAACTACATACAGACTAATGGAAAAGTCATTTTACCTGGGGGGAAAATACCTAAAATCACAAACCTGAAAGAGCGAAAGACAAGCCTGTCAGATCTAAATGATCCAAGTAAGTATCCTCTTCTTGTTTCCTCTCTGTCTTCCTGAGACCCACAAACCCGTGGGCTCACTCCAGTGGGCTCCACTGATCCCCTGGCCTTCACTCCTGAAGTGCACCACCATGTGCACCACCATCCCTAGATTAACTGTATTCTTCAGTGACAATCCAATATTTTAATTGTGTGGTTTTTAATGTGAGCATATTTGAGAAGCAGTTTCCAGAGGTAGCTATCTTCTTGTGGCAGATAATGCAGCATTTGGGGAGCATGTGATTAAAACATGTCCATGTAGTTGTGAAATAATAACTGACTTTGTTCCCATTCCCCTCATGTTAAATAGTCAATAAGAAAACAGTAGCTTGGCCCCAGTCTTTGCTCATGCTAGTTACTGCTTATTTTGACTTAGTCTGTATCTCTTGTCTAGACTTTTTGTATGTGTGCTTGCTGTGTAGGCTAGCCTGGCTAGCCAGTGAGCTCCAGGGGTTAGCCTTTCTCTTCCTTTCCAATGCTGGGGCTAGAAATTACCATGCCCAGCCTTCTTATGTGGTTCTGGAGAACAAACTTGGGTACTGGATGCTTGCAAGGGTTTGCCAACTGAACTGTCTCCCAACCCCTTTGTTATTGATTTGAGGAAATAAAATAACATATAAATAACAAATAATCATAGTTCAATATGATATTTAACACATAGCAAGGACTCAGTGGAAATAAGTTTTCTTACCACAAGGCAAGATAGTTCATGGATATTTTTAAGCCATGTTAAAGAAAGTGCACACACAATTTAAAAGTTTATAGGTACCAATCACTGTAATAGGATTTTACATATCTTTGTAACAATCCTGTGAAATAGATACCATTGTTGTCTCTGATTTCATAGAGGAGAGAAATTGAATCAAATAACCAGCTTTGAAAATAATAATAAGCCAGTATTTGTTATGAAATTAGATAACAAAATCAAAGAGATAATGGTATTACTGGAATGATGATCCTCTGAGGCATGTACATTACTCAGTAAGTATTAACTGAGCATGTATGTGTGGGGTGCAAAAACGAAAAACGCCCATGTAAGTTCATACATCATGCCTTTAAAATCCAACCTCCTTTATTAAAGTTATTTACTAGGAGTAAGTAATTCACAGGCACCTGTATCATCAGAAAGTCTTTAGCCAACTTTTTACTCTTACACAGGAACACTTTAAATATCCTGTGTGAAGCACAGTTTTAGGTTCTGGAATATAGCAGTGAGCAAGATATTGTCTCTGCTCTTAGAGTTAGTTGCAAGTCAACTTTTACAACAAAGAGTGATACAACATTGAAATCAATGAGTACCTGACTGTCTCTGTGCTTGTATTAGTTTAGGTTGTCCATCAACAGTGATATTCAAGCTAGTGCTTTATGACAAACTATGAAGAGCGTTGAAGGTAGACTAGTCAACAGAAATTCTTGCTAGTGTTTCAGGAGTGGGTAATGGGGATTTTATTCAGTACAGTGCAATTAACTTAAGGATTATGAAACAGGCATAGATCTGATAAGGTATAGAGTAGTGAGTACAAGACCTAAGCAAATTGTCATTACAGTTGTCTTATTCATGTTTATAAAGCAAGATTTATTGAGCATTAGATATTAGTACAATTTTTATAATTTTAGTGCTTCCCAGTGTAAGGCAAAAATATTTGGTCACATACTTAAAATGTAGGTTATTTTGAACCTAATTTGGATATTTTCAAACCATAAACTTTCTTTAATTCTGAAATAGACCTCTGGATGATGATTGTGAGTTACTGGAGTAGCTGTGTGGGTTAGTGGTCACTATATCATGCTTTATTTTTTTCTTTGGCAATACTGGAGATTTGAACCCAGAGCCTTGTGTATGCTAGACAAGTGTTCTGCCATTAAGCTATATCCACAACACGGGTGGTGGTGATTATAGAAGCTAAAGCTAAAGAGTTGATTTCATATTTATCCAGTATTTTTATAAAGATTATAAATCATGTGCTTTTTTTTTAAGACTTTCATGAGATACAATGGATTATATCTTCCCTTGAGTGCCAGTGAGAGAGAGAGAGAGAGAGAGAGAGAGAGAGAGAGAGAGAGAGAGAGAGAGAGAGAGAGAGAGGGAGAGGGAGAGGGAGAGGGAGAGGGAGAGGGAGAGAGATCAGTTCTTGCTTTCAAACTTTACATGGATTTACATGGATTCCAGTGATCAAACTCAGGCCACTGGGCTTGTGCAGCAAGCAATTTTACATGCTGAGCCATCTCATTGGCTCCTCCTTCATTTGCTTTTATTGGTCTGTGGAAAAGCTTAAGACAAATTTGGTATATTTTCCAGTTAAGTTTTTTACAGACAGAAATGAACTATACGGGCGGTGGTGGCACTTGGGAGGAAGAGGCAGGCAGATCTCTGTGAGTTCGAGGCCAGCCTGCTCTACAGAGCGAGATCCAGGAAAGGCACAAAGCTACACAGAGGAACCCTGTCTTGAAAACAACAACAACAACAACAAAAACAAACAAAAAGATTTAAAAAAAAGAAGAAATGAAATATAAATGTAAAAATTTTCAATGTCAATTTTGGATTTTCTTTCTGATTGTAGTCATTTTGTCCAGTGATGACGACGATGACGACAGGACTCACAGAAGAGAGAGCATGTCCCCACAGCCTGCCGACTCGGCATGCTCTTCCCCGGCACCATCGACTGGAAAAGTAGACGCTGCACTAAATGCAAATATTTGCAGAGCAGAGCAGGAATCTAGAAGCAATCCAGCAGAATCGGAGTTAAATACAGTTGTCATATCAAGAAAAGCGAGAATGAAGGACCAGGTATATTCAGATTGAGGTCTTCCCTTTGGGGTGCAACCTGGCTTTCAGGAGTAATTTGTTAATGACAGCAAGAGAAGATGGCCTATTCACTAATCTGTCCTCAAATACTGTTAAAAGATTCTTTTAGAAGACCATTAAACTATATACAAAAATAAATTACAATTTAATCAAAGGCTTAAGTTACAAATCCAACAAGAAAAAAAGCCAGTATAAGGTGGTAGTGGCACACGCCTTTAACTCCAGCACTCAGGAGGCAGTGACAGACAGATCTCTTGAGTTCGAGGCCAACCTGGCCTACAGAGTGAGTTCCAGGACAGCCTGGGCTGTAACACAGCAAAACCCTGTCTCCCGGGGGAAAAAAAATCCAGTATTAACAAAATGTCAGTATAGATCCCTTTTTCATGATTTCTGGGACCAGAAATGTTTTAAATTTCAGTTGTTTTTTAAAATTTGGAATATTTGCACGTATTATAACTAGATACATGGAACTAGGACTTAAGTCTAAAAGGAAATTATTTATGTTTGTCACATACAGTGTATGGTTAATCTTGAGGTAAGTTTTGCACAGTATTTTTAGTTCATTACGTTTTCTTTCATTTTGTAAAATTTTTTATTTTTATTTATGTGTATATGTGTGAGTATATGCACATGAGTGTAGGTACCAGCAGAGGCCACAGGCCATATCCTTTGGAACTGGAATTGCAAGCAGTTGTGAGCCAACTGATGTTGGTGCTGAGAACTGAACTCAGGTCATCTGGAAGAGCAGTATGTGGCCTTAACCACAGAGCAGCCATCTTTCCAGTACTTCACTTACATTTTTTACTGCAGCCTATCACTTTAGTTCAGGTGTGCAGTGTTGGTGCTCAGAAAATTTCAGGGTTTGGAGTCGTTCGGACTTTAGCGATGATGTGTGTGTGTATGTGCATGTGGGTATGTATATGTGTGTTTCTAAGAAAACCTTGTAGGCTAGTAGTTATTTTAATTTCAGTCTATGTCACCATAGTATAGTTATATCTTTTTTTTTTGGTTTTTCGAGACAGGGTTTCTCTGTGTAGCTTTGCGCCTTTCCTGGAACTCACTTGGTAGTCCAGGCTGGCCTCGAACTCACAGAGATCAGCCTGCCTCTGCCTCCCGAGTGCTGGGATTAAAGGCATACGCCACCACCGCCCGGCCTATATCTTAACCATATTATAATTTGCTTAAAAATTTCAAAATATTCAGATGAAAAGATAGTGATGTAAATAAAAAGATTCATAGAGATATTTATAATGCAAATGATATACAGTATTGAAATAGACCAACTGTTATTAAAAGTGAGAGAGAGACTAGGGCTGGCGAGATGGCTCTACAAATAAAGGTGCTTGCTGACAAGACTGATAATGTTATTTCAATTCCCAGGACCTCCATGATGGAAGAATAAAACCAACTCCTACAAACTCTGACTTCCATGTGCATACTATAGCACTGCCTCTCCCCATAAATATATAAATGTTTACAAAAAGTAAATAACTAACACCGAGGATAAAAACCAAAAGAATAAGGACCAAATGTACCCAACCTTTTGTAAGGTGATAGTCACTGTAAGGTGGTGATGGTCACTATAAGGTGATGGTCTTTGAGATAAACTACAGAGTTCATGCTGGAGACTTGAACAGTCAAATTATTATTGTTTGTTTAAATCTCAGTGTTTTAAATAAGTTTACAATTGTGTTCATAGCTGTTGTTGCCTACATGTGGCCATCAGAACATAAGTTGGACATGCTGTCAGATATAAACCACCACCTAAAAAGTATAAATTAGTAAGGAAGAACTGCTTGGGGAAAATGAAATTTAATTACTTAACTAAGTAGACTTAAAATTAATACAAAGTAATATGTGTTCTTGATAAGAATTCAAGGGAATAGGAGAGTACTTTCTGTTTTAGCAATAGAAAGGAAAGCTATGTAAAAAGAGAAAAAAGAAAAAACATACCTTAAAATTTTAAATATTTATCATTTGACCCCATAGAATTCTTCTCAAAGGAATTCTTCCCTCTTTCCCAAGGTGTGAAGTATTTATACAACAAGATTGTTTGCTGAGCATGGTGCCTCATGCCTGCAATCCCAGCACTTGGTAAGCTGAGGCAGAAGGATCATTTCACGTTTGATTGAGACTATTCTGGGGTAGAGTGAGTTCTATGTCAACCTGGGCTACAAAGTGAGACCCTGTCTCTAAAAAAAATCAAAACATTAGTAATGAGAAAAATCACTGTCCACTAATACAAGTATGGCTGAAGAATCCTGGTTTAATAATAGGCTGGACCAGTACAACCAATTGAAGATAGAATTACAGCTAAATCAATATATAGAGCTCTTTAGAGGGGATAACGAGATACAGGAATATATGAATTTATAAAGTGAACATGTTTTACAAAATGAACATTTTTTTAAAGCAGAAGTTTAAGCAGAGTAACATAGGTTTACTAAGAAAAAAAAACTGGAACCTTAAGAAATGAGAAACAATACAAGCAATTCAAAGATTACTTTAAAAAATGGATTGGTATTTTTACATAATCTTAGTGCCTTTTAAACATAACAATACAAGCAAAAATAAATAGCAGAGGTATAGGTACATTTTAAAAAAGAAATTCAGATCAGTGTATGAAACATGATCAGGATTTGATAGGTTAGCGTAAGTGAGGAAAAATATCATCAATTGATACTGTCAGTTGATTTTTTATATATTTGTAATTCATATATATATATATATATATAAAATTTCTTAAAGTCAAGAAGTACTAAGGAGAGGAGATAGCTGTTATTAACATGCCTGCCACACAGCCTGAAGACCTGAGTTCGATACCTAGCACTTCATGTAGAAAGTCAAGTGCGGATCATAATCTAACACTGGAGACGCAGGCACAGGTACATCCCTGGATTTACTAGCCCCTATGGCTTAGTGAGACCGTGGCCACTGGCACATGCTGACATATGGGTGCTTACACACTGGTGCACAAGTGTATGCATGTGAGCATTGAAAAATGAGTAAAGTTCAGGAAAGGTGGTAATCAGTTAGTGAGTATGAAATGAATTGCTCCTTGCTAGCTGTATTGATTGCCAGAAGGTTTTCTAACTGTGGTAGTGCTCCAGTGGTATTTGGAAAGATGAGATGTTAGGGATGAAAATTGGTATAACTTTGCTGGAGAGTAGATGAGCAATAATTGCACATAGGAATAACTGCACTCTTCTTCAGAAATGCTTACTGGAGATAGTTTGCTGTAGGACACACTGGAAGTACATGCAACATAGAAGAGTTCTGTTAAGTGAGTTGGACTTTCATGTGATAGGGTTATCCAGGTTTTTGATGAAACACTGACCAGAAGGCTTTTATTTCTCATTTTAAAATGTGATGCTCTGTGGCAGGGTGTGGATCTTTCAGACTCCCATCTTTCTAAATTCTATTGGGAACAGCACTTATTATCTGTCATTGGTGAACAGAATAGCTCTCATTTGAAAAATGATTGTAAAGCTTAGAAACCAAACCAAGCCAAAACAAACATGTCCAAGACCTTTTAAAAAGGTTTTTGATGTGTTCCTATTAATGATTTAGGAAGTCATAATAACCAGTTTCTTAGCCTGAAAAATCAGTGTATAGAACTGTATCTCTGTGGTTGTGTGTGTTTTCTTGGAGGATTTCGGGGGTGGCAGGTGTTTGACAGTCTCACTTTCCAGCCCTGTCTAACCTTAAACTCTTTGGAGCTTGGGCTGGCCTCAAGTTCTCAGATGTACTTCTACCTCAGCCTCCTAAGTGTTGAGGCTACACAAGGTTCTTCAGTTAAGGTAATTGTCTCTAGTTTCATCCATGGTGTTGCAAATGACAGGATGGTTGTGCTTTTATATGTCTGATAAGTATTTTGATATGTCTGTGTGCCATATTTTTATCTTTATTTCCTTCATCAGTTGTGCACATAAGGTGTTTCTCTTGTCTGTTGTGAAGAGTGCTGTAATGAACATGGCAGTGTAGATGTCTTTTTGACACACTGGGTTCATACACTTTGTATAGTAGCATTAGTATTGATAGTTCTCTTTTTTTAATTTTTGGAAGAATGTTCATCATGTTTCCGTAATGGCCGTACTAATTTACAGTGTGCCTTTTTGTGTGCGTCCTTGCCATCTTTCTCATGCTGTCTGGAGATGCTTTGCTGTGGTATTGATTTGCATTTCCTTTGTGATTAATGATGCTGATTATGTTTTTCTTATACCTGTTAGCTATTTATGTGCCTTATTTTGTGAACTGCCTATTTAAATCTGTTGTGTCTGTCTGTCTGTCTGTCTGCCTGTCTTTATTCATTCATTTATTTATTTATTTATTCATGAGATAGGATCTCATTTAGCCCAGGCTGGCCTTGAACTTCCTATGTAGCTAAGGATAACTTTGAGTTTCTGTTCTTCCTGCCTCCATCTCCCCAGTGCTGGAATCATAGGCATGAACTTCAGTGCGAGCTTGCCCAATTTCTAATTCAGTTGTTTCTGTCTTCATTGTTGAGTTCCTTATGTAGTCTAGATAGTAACCCTTTTTGGGTATATAGTTTGCAATTTTTTTCTCATATCCGGCTTTCTTTTAGTTTTTTGTTATTTTGTTTTTTCATTGTCTTGTATGAAAAGACCTTTGAGTTTCCATCATTTGGAAATATCTCCCCTGTATTTGTTTGTACATTTTCATAGTTTTTAGATTGTATATTAAATCTTTAATCCATTTAGAGTTGTTTTTTAATATAGTCAAGAGATAGGAGTCTTTTTCATTATTAATTTAAAAATATATTTTAATTTTTCTATGTGTATGGGGGTTTTGCCTGCATGTGTATATGTGCATCACTGGCTGCCTGATTCCCACAGAGGCTAGAACTGGAACTGGAGTTATAGATGGTTGTGAGCCATCATGTAGGTGCTGGGAATTGAACTTAGATCTTCTGTAAGAACTGCAAGTGTTCTTAACCTATGAGCCATCTCTCGAGCCCTGTTTCATTCTTGTGCCTGTTGATACCTCATTTTCCCTGCATCATTTATGGGAAAAGACTGTCTTTCCTCTAGTGTATATTCCTAGCACTTCCGTCAAAAATATGTTACCTGTAACTGGGCACTTGGGATGTTGAGACAAGAGGATCCTGAGTATTAGGGCATCAAAGTCGACACAAAGATCCAGTCTCAAAAAACCAAAACGGGCTGAAATGATAGCTCTGTTGTTAAAGATCAGACAAGAGTTCAGTTCCCAGCATCTACAGTAATCCAAACCATCTCTCAAGCTTTCCCTTCCTCCCCTCCAATAGTGTACATACATATATGTACTCGTTGGTTAAAATGAAGAAACAGACACACAAAATGATTTGCCTGTAGAATGATGAATTTAATTTACTTCCAGGTTTCTTATTCTGTTCCATTGGTTGGTTCTATTGGTTGGCCTGTTGGTCTGTGTTTATTTCACTACCATGCTATTTTTATTACTATGGCTTGGGAGTATATTTTGAAGTCAGATGATAGCTTTGTTCTTCCTCAAGAAGACTGTAGTATTCAGGGTTTTCTTTCTCTCTCTTTTCTTTGTGATTGCATAGTTGCATATAAAGTGTTAAGATTTGTTTTAGGTTTTTGTTTTTGTCTTTTTTTCCCAGTTCTTCAAAAAGTGGTATTGGTACTTAGAGATTGCATTAACTCTGTAACTCTCTTTTGGTTGGTGTGTGTATTCTAACAGTACTGATTCTTCTCCATGAACCTGAGATGCCTTTTCCTCTGTTTGTATGTCTTCAGTTTCTTCATCATAGATATGATTAACTTCTTTGCCTAATTTTATGCCTAGGTGTTTTATTTTCTTATAGTTGTTGATTTTTTTTTTACTTTTTATTTCAGATAATTGACTGTAGGTGTATGGCAGCACTGTTGATTTTATTGATTTATTTCATATCCTGCAACTCTGAATTTGCTTACACTGATAGCTTGGGGTGGTATTTGGGGGACTTTGTATACTTCCTGCTTTAAGTGTGTACTGTTCTGTGGCAGGCGCTAGAATTATCTCAGAATGATAATGGCTGTCCTGTATAGGATACAGAGCTTTTGTTGTTTGGTTGGTTTGGATTTTTTTCCCCCTATCCAGATCATGTTTTATTCTTTGTGGTTTTTTTTTTTTCATGTTTTATTCTTTGATGATAATATAGTTACTGCAGGTTACAGAAAAATTTATAGTCTGAAGTGCTCCAAAGAGCAAATCTTCGTTAGGTGGGTTTGGATTTAAGACTTTGAGATTATGGATGTTCAGCTAGTAAAACCTATGCAAAAATATTCCAAAGTCTGAAACACTTCTGATATCATACATTCAGATAAGGTATATGTAATTTCTATAAACACAATTAATTTTAATTGAAATTATAAAATGTTTATATTGTGATTGGTTTGCATTAGTGAATATAGATTATTCAGGTGTTTTTGAGCATTTATTTATGTAGTATGTGGGGGTGCACACGCCACAATACAAATGTGAGGGTTAGAGGACAGCTAGTGGAGTCGCTTCTTCCCTTCATCCGTGTAGGTTGGGGCACTTTGAACTCAGGTCTCCGGACTTGACAGTAGGTGCCTTTACCTACTGAGCTGTACCAGTGGTTCCAGGTCAAGTAACTGGTCTGTGTGAATATATAAAATATCCTTTTAAATAGTAATATTCTCTTACTTGCTCTCTAAAGAAACAGTGCTTTTAAGTTTTACCGCCGTCACTCATCACTGGCATCCATCCAGGCAGCTTTTCTGTGCATCAGTTACCTCTGACCTGCTCTGGGGACATTGCTCTTTTGAATAGAGGCATTCTTAGACCTCAGTGCTTTTCATTTTAGGAAACTAAAGCTTAAGGAAGTTACTGATTTTTGCAAAACCATTAGTTGGTATTTTGGTTGTGATTTGAACATATCCAGTGTGATTTGTGAGTTTAATTCCTGACCACTGTGCTTGAATTTCAACTTACAACTTGTGAATTTACTTTATATTATAGCCAAATTTCTATTTCCTCTCACACTGAGGAAGGACATGTAGTCAGTGCATGTGTGTTTGGTTTGCAGCCTTCTTACAGCACCTTAGTATGTAAAATTTTCTTTTTCTTTTCAGCTGGGCAATCCCATCAGCACACCTCTAAAGCGTCGTAAAATAAACACTCACGGAACTTTAATTCACACTCTGTCACTGCCACACTGCCAAAACTTTGAGAGTGTCATTTTAAACTGTCGGAGTATACGAGTTGGAACACAATTCCGACTGTTGGTAGAGCCTGTAATTGTAAGTACTTTCTTAAACTGTGACTGTACTAATAACAGGATTCAGATGCCTCTGACAAAGTTAATCAATAGTATTTAAAGTTCGTTACATTTTTGAAGTTAATTGAATATCAAAATTATTTAAAGATTTCAGATTGCTTTACGATTATATAAATAGTAATCCATTTAAAACCACTGGATATGTGAGCCAGGCAGTGGTTGTGCACACCTTTAATCCCAGCACCCGCGAGGCAGAGGCAGGTGGATCTCTGTGAGTTTGAGGCCAGCCTGAGCTATAGAGTGAGTTCCAGGAAAGGCTCCAAAGCTACACAGAGAAACCCTGTCTCAAAAAACAAAAAAACCCAAAAAACAACCAACTGCTATATATGTTAATATAATGTAAATTCAAAGTAGTGTTCAATTTATTGTAGGAGATGCATATGACTCTCATACATACATTTAAGTTCTGTCATTTAGTATTTTACTATACAGGGTTAAATACCCCTAGTCCCAAAATTCAAAATTTTCTGAAGTCTGAAATGTTGAGTGATGACCATAACTTAAAAGTTTTGTGTTGCTGGATATGGTGGTATATTCTCTGAGCCAGATATGCTAATGTATATTCCCAGCCATTTTTGGAGGCTGATGCATCAGGATCACCAGGAAGTTGAGTATGGTGGCAGAGTTACAAGCAAGCAAACAGAAGAAGCCAGCTTGGATGAAATAGTAAGAGGCACATCCTTCAGTTTCCAAAAAAGAAAAAAGTTGAGTTTGTTGTAGGGTGGAGCTCAGTGATAGACCTCGAGTTTAGCATGCTCTAATCCTTCTCTGTTTAGTCCTCAGTGCTTTTTGGAAGAAGGGAGTTTTTTTACTTTATTTTCCAATTAGGGATATTTAAGCACTAAAGTCTAAGTAAATACTCCACATGACTGTCTCCAAAATCTGAACCCCTTCTGGTCCTCAACATTTTAGAATTTTGGATGAGGAACACTTGGTCTGTGTTTACTTTTCATGTATCTGTTTACTACTGTTAATGTGTTATCTGTCCTTCAATACAATTCAAAATATTTGCCTCTTTTTGATTCTCTAACATTTCTAAACATGCAAAGTAACTTCATTCAGGTTTATTAATTAGGCTTAATGTTAAGTGCTCTTTACATTGAAATTAAACCTTTTTTTCGGTCTTTTCGCGAGACAGGGTTTCTCTGTGTTGCTCTGACTGTCCTGGAATTCACTCTATAGACCAGGCTGGCCTTGAACTCAGAAATCCGCCTGCCCCTTCCTCCTGAGTGCTGGAATTAAAGTCATACACTACTACCACCTGGCTAAAATTAAACCATTTTATAACCATCAATAAATGATTCAAGGAAGGAATGCCAATGGATGCTAAAACCGTTGGATAAAAGATAGCCATACACTTTAAGTATCTTTGCTCAGATTATCATTGCAAGTGGGCAAACATGGAAACAGCAGTACCTAGCAGGTACTGCTGAGGCCAGGTGACTAAGCTTGCCATTACCAGTGAGACAGCTGGACTCTTCAGGAGGAGAATGTGGGGTTTCAGCACATCACCCATGTGCTACTTGTACTGAAAATGTGTGGCCTGGATTTGGAGATAAAGAAACACCCCTCTAGGAGATTGCATGTTTTGTATAACTTAGATTTCATAAAAGCCATGTCATGAAGAATAGAGAGGCAAGTTTCTAGTGTAGACACAGTGGGTACATGCTATGTAATACTGACAGAGTAATGACTGAGGGAAAGTAAAAACAAGGATCAGTTGATAATTGTGAGCATTTATGGAAATTTAAGCATAAACCATATGTTGAAGAGATTAGTCTTGATTTGTTAGATGTGCTGATACTTTAGTTGTGTATTAAAATGTTTTTGTTCTGAGAAGATTCATGCTGAAGGATTTGAGGATGAAGTAATGACTGTGGCCTGCTTTGTGGCTTTTTTTAAGTAAAAAGATAACCTGTAAAGGGTAATGTAGTTAGATGTGTGAAAATATTAACTTAATGAATCTAGGAAAGGAATGTTCAGGTAGGTTTTTATTGTTATTGTCTGTCAACTTCTCTAAAATGTTCAGAATATCTGAATTATTTATTTATTTATCTTTTTTTTTTTTTTTTTTTTTTTCGAGACAGGGTTTCTCTGTGTAGTTTTGGTGCCTGTCCTAGATCTCACTATGTAGACCAGGCTGGCCTTAAACTCACAGAGATCCGCCTGGCTCTGCCTCCCGAGTGCTGGGATTAAAGGTGAGTGCCACCACTGCCCGGCCTGATTTTTTTTTTTTTTAAGGGGTGGATAGTTCATCTTAGATTTAAGCACATGGTATCTGACTCAGTTTTTCTGCCCTTTGTATGCTTATGGACCGTATATGCCATTTAGAGTATTCAGAACAAAATCTCCATAAGTCTAACATCAACACTAATTTGTCTTTTTCTTTTTTTAAAGTTTTCTTTAGAGTCAATCAAGATACATCTAGATGGTAAGCTATTCTTTTATCTGTGCATGCACTAAAGCTTTGTCTACACTGACCCATTTTTTATAGTAATAAATATTCATAGAATTCAATAATTAGTTCATCTTATAAAGGGCCTGGGTGTTTATGTAATTTCATGCTGCAATGTAACAAAGTCTAACACTTTTTATTTGGGAAAAAAATTATGTTTTATAAATGAAGGTTTTTTTGTTTATTTGTTTGGTTTTTGGTTTTTGGTTTTGGTTTTGGTTTTTCAAGATAGGGTTTCTCTGTGTAACAGCACTAGCTGTCTTGGAACTTGCTCTGTAAATCAGGCTGGCCTCAAACTCACTGTCTCTGCCTCTTGAGTGCTAGGATTAAAGGCATGTGTCACCGTTCCCAGCTTGAAATCCTTAATATATATAGAGTATAGTAAATGATTAATTTTAAGCTTGTATTTCCCGTTTGTGGTATGCCAGCTTAAACATTTACTCCTTTTTCCTTTCTTGTTATTTCCCTCTAGGACCAGAAAGTGATCCTGTAGAGATTATTTTAAATACCTCTGATCTAACTAAATGTGAATGGTGTAATGTCCGGAAATTACCAGTAGTGTTTCTGCAAGCCATACCAGCAGTTTATCAAAAGCTGAGCATGCAGCTGCAGTTGAATAAAGAAGATAAAGTTTGGAATAATTGTAAAGGAGTGAACAGGTTAACAAGTAAGTTTTATAGACAAATTACAGCTAAGATAGAAGGTCTCCTGAGTTAGCAGGATAGGAGTGTTTTAGAAAGTGGAAGGTTTTATCAGTCCATCATGAGAAGTTGAAGCAGTGATTTCAGGTCAGTCATCACTTCATTTGATACCATCTGAAATGGGTGTAGCAGCCTCTGAGGAAAAGCCCACAGAGAGTTGAAGGGTTGAAGATAAAACTTGGATTTATCCAAAGCATTTAGAAAGTTTACAAATTGGGTTAAAACTCAAAAGATCTGAAGTCCATAATGCTAAGTAAAATGAATTTAACTGCTGTGACCAGTTAACTGATGGAACTAGGACATTTTGAAGTCCTTGGAAGAGGTCTTTATCCTTTAAATAAATGCAGTTCTTTACACAACTATTCACAGTATAAGTACATTTTGGGCTGGAGAGATGGTTCAGTGGCCAAGAGCACTTACTGCTCCTGCAGAGGATATGGGTTTGTTTCCCAAGCACCCACATGGCAGCTCACAGTTACCTGTAACTCCAGTTCTAAGAGGTGTAATGTCCTCTTTGAGCACCAGAAACATAAGTCCTACATGACATACATGAAGGGAAAGGCATGTACACACAATTTATAAAATAAATTTAAAAAACTCAATACATTTTAGCATTAATTGCAGCTTCAGCTTAGCAGTCAGTAAATGCTAATATAACTGTAAAAACTGACACATCAGTGAGCACCAACTTTGCAGGTCTCATCTGGAGATAATACTGTGTGCTTGGCATTTTCCTAATCATTCTTGGCAGAAATGCTAATTGATATTTATTTATGATTATGAATTAGTTTTAATCCTTTTAGAACTGTGGGTTCTCAACCTTCCTGACACTGTAACCTTTTAATATAGTTCTTCATGTTGTGGTGACCCCCAACCATAAAATTATTTCATTACTACTTAATAACTGTAATTTTGCTACTATTAGGAATCATAATGTAAATATCTGATATGCAGGATATCTGATATGCAACTACTGTGGGAATCATGACCCACAGGTTGAGAGCTGCTGTTTTAGAAGAAGCAGATTGCTTACATTTTTTTTTTTTTTTTAATATCTCTGTTAATGTGCTACTGCTAGATCTGGTTCCTTTGTTTTGGTAACTTAGTTAACATTTCTAGGTAACACTCCTCATTTTCCAGTATTTAGTGTGTGTCCCTATGTACTAAACACTGTTATGGATATATATTCCAGAACTGTAATCACCTAGGAAATAATTAGTTGATACTCTTCTTATATATATGTGCAAATGCACATGTGTGTGCAAGCACAGATATGGAAGCCCGAGGTCAACCTCAAGTATTGTCCAGCTTTTGAGACACTGTCTTTCACTGCCCTGAGACTTATCATATAGCTAGACTGGTGGGTATGCAAACCATGGATCTGCCTGCTTCTGTCTCCCCCACTGGGATTACAAGCCTGTCCCTCCACGCCCAGCTTTTTGTGTTGGTCTGGGAATCAAACTGAGGTTCTTTCTCATGCTTGGGTAGCAAGCACTTTACTGACTGAATTATCTCCCCAACCCTCCACCCTCTTTGCCTTTTTTCTTTTCTTTCTTTTTTTGAGAGAGAGATTGTTTCAGTATTCGCTGTGTAGCCCAGGCTTTCCACAAACTCTGGGCAATCCTGCCTTCACTTTTCAAGTGCTGGAATTACAGACACGAGTCACCACACCCATCACTTGTTGGTATGCTCTAAAATTGTTTATTACTTATTTTTTTCTTTCAGCCTTATAGTTATATTTATTTCTTTACAGGTTTAGAAGAACAATACATTATTTTAATTTTTCAGACTGGCCTTGATCCTCAGGCAAATGTGGTCTTTGAAAGTATCATTACTGACATTGGTATAAAGAATAATGTTTCCAACTTTTTTGCGAAAATTCCTTTTGAAGAAGCCAATAGCAGACTTGTTGCCTGTACAAGAAGCTATGAAGAGAGCATCAAAGGAAATTGTGTGCAAAAAGAGAACAAAGTGAAAACTGTAATTATATTTACAAATCTTACAGTCATTTTAATGATGGGTAATTCTGTTTGTTTTTTGTGATGCTGGGGATCAAACCCAGGGCTTTACATATTCTAGGCAGATACCTCGCCGCTGAGCCACACCCTCAATAATAATGAGTAATTTTAAAATGGAATGTTTTAATATTGCTCATTTTAATGTTAGACTTCAAAAAATCCATTTTAAAATTAAAGATATTTAAGTTTTAAAACAGTATTTGATAGAAGTTTTGGGATCTTTTTTAGTTCCTTTCCACACTCTGTTCTGTTCCTTTTTCTCCCGTCTTTCTCTCTGTACTGCATTCTGAGCATACACATACAGACACAGCTCATTCATATAGATTGTTACCGTGTGTCCTAGAGCTGAGGGTTAGGTCCCCTGTGCATAGCACACACTTGTTTTAACGTAATTGACAACATTGGAAGTAAAGGATATACTCTGACTTCGAGAAAAAGTGCATGCAGTAATATAGAAATGCCTCAGAGTTAGGTAAGTCTCAAGCTGTGTGAGCCATGGTAGAACTGTCCCATTTCTACAGCTGTTGGATTCTATTAGTTTCGAGGTTTGCTTAGTTTATTGGGAATAAATCTCTCAGCCTGGCTGCAAACTTAGAAATGTGGCCTATTCAAGGCATAATTTGATGGGGTTCGTTCATTTGTTTCAGGGTCTTGGCTTTATAAGCTGACCACAAACTGGCTGGCCTGCTTGTATGTCTTAGGTTCTGGGATACACCTATGCCCACCAAACCCAGCTGAAAACTTGTTTTTTTCTCACTCTGTAACTCTGGCTAGCCTAAGACTTACTATATAGACCAGGCTAGCCTCAAACTCACAGTAATCTGCCTTCTTCCCACTCTTACTTCAAGGGCTAGGATTAAAGGTGTGCACCACCATGCCTGACAAACTTCTTTTTATTGCTCTCTTGTGCCATTATTCTTCATCTCCAATGAACTGTATATCTACCCACAAGACACAGTCTTACTAACTAACCTCATACTTGTAGTGGGAGGCAGGAAAGGAGAGAGGGAGAGATCCTGCCTCTTTTGCAGAGATAAAAACCACAAAGCAGGTGGCATGGACTCAGGGTTCCCTCTAGTAATTCTTAAGCTCACAACTGTATGTTCTCAGTCCCTGTGCCCCCACTTCCTGCAGACTGCCTAGCCTTTGAACTAAGGTAGGTTTCCACTGCTGTCAGAAAAAAAACAACGTTGGGGTTTGTTTACTTTAGAGGGTCTTCTCTTACCAGTCTGATTTAATAGGAATAGTAGAAATAAGATCTGGAAAGCCATTACTATATTTTGTATGGAAGTGAAAGTCACCCTATTCCTGGCTTTTTTTGTTGCTTCTCAGTCATATATATGTTTATATGTATGTGTGTGTATATTATATAGATTTTATACATACATACAAAATATATTTTATATATATATAATATAATTTTTATTTATTTCTTTATTTTTTGAGAGGCAGGATCTTGCTGTATAGCCCTGCCTGCCCTCAAAGTCCCTTTGGAGACGAGGCTGTCTGAAGCCTGTCGTGAGCCTGCCCATGTCTCCTGAGTGCTTTTTCCATTTTCCATTGAACACCTTTTCTGCCTTGCTCTTTTTATTTAAAAAAAAAAAAAAATTCCCAATTAACTTCACAAATTGGTTATTTTCTCTACCAGATGCCCCTTGAATCTAAAATACAACTTAGAAGCAAACAAGAATTGCAGTTTTTTGATGAGGAGGAAGAAGCTGGAGAGAGCCACACCATCTTCATTGGCCCAGTAGAAAAGTGAGAAAATTCTTTTTTGTATGCAATACTTAGAAATGTCTGTTTCTGTGTTTAGTAATGCTTTCTTCCTCCTTTGTTATAGATTGATAGTGTATCCACCACCTCCAGCTAAGGGAGGCATCTCTGTTACTAACGAGGACCTGCACTGTCTAACTGAAGGAGAGTTTTTAAATGATGTTATTATCGACTTTTATTTGAAGTAAGTTAGCTAACTTATTAGCAAACTTTTAAACATCCTGCCATTGTATATCTTTTTAAATCCTAAAGTCTAAAGTCAGACTATTCGATTGAAATTTTTATCACTGCGATATACTCTGACGCTTAAGAGTAATCCTCTACTCAAGTATTTTACTGTGCCTATGTTTCCACATTTTAAAAATGAGAATAAAGGGTTGTAAGACTTGAATGAAGTAGTAATATATGTGAGGTAGTAAGGACTGTACCCAGCAAGCACAGTTTTCATAAATACTAGCTTACCATGTGTAATGAAAGGGCCCACATATATGAAACAAAATAGAACTTACCCTCCTTATATCCAGGATGTTGTTTTCTAGTTTATTTCAGTGTATCTCATAACTCAAAATGTGTTTTGAAACCTGACTGTTGAAACCTGCAAAATTGATTTAATAGCTTAGTAGTGGAATTCATTCATACTTTGGAAGGCAAAAGACATGTAACTCTAGCTGCAGGGGTCTGATACCCTCTTGCGGCCTCCACTGGCGCCAGAACTCACATGCACACAAAACATAAGCATGAAGAGCATATTTTTAATGATGTTTTGGATGGAGTTATAGGTCAGCTTGGCTTGGATAGGAACACTTGGTTAGCATATGTAAAATCCTTAGAGATTTTATGCCTAATTATTCTATAAAATTATTACAAAGGATTGTTGAAATCTCCAGCTGCGCTATCTTTAAAGCCACCTGTATTTTGAAGTTCTATTGGTAGGAAAATATGCTTTTATATCTTGTAGAACTAATCTTTATCACTACGTGATATTTTTCTTATCCCTAATCTTCCTGTTCTTGAGTCTGCTTTGTTGACAGAAGAGATGTTTCTTTTCACTTTCCTGGCAAGCATTTCTTCCTTTTACTTTTAACCCTTTAAGTGGGTATTTGATATTTTGGGGTTATTTATTATTAGACTGTGTAGCTGAGGATGACCCTTGGACTTCTGATCTTGCTTGCTGGTGGTACAAGAGTGTACTACCACACCCAGCAAGGAGCTGAAACTTGCTTATGTGAGGTTTGGAGAATAAACCTAGGGCTTTATACATGCTAAGCAAGCAATCTGCCAACTGACCCCTGATATTTTTGTTATTGTTTGTGCTTCATACTGAAATCTTAAGTTTTTATATTATACTAAAAATTTAGTTTGTAGTCCTGACTTTATTCAGGACTCATATTTATAGTTTCCAATTAAATTTTATATAATAAATGTTGCTGGACTTTCTTTGAACTGCCAGCTCCCAAATAGTGACATGGAGACTCCTTATTAATTATGAAAGCTGGGCCTTAGCTTAGGCTTGTTCCCAGCTAGATCTTAAAAATTAAATTAACCCATTTATATTAATCTATGTTCTGCCATGTGACTCATTACCTCTCCTCCATACAGTATGTCCAGTTTTCTCTGAGTCTCACTGGCTTATCTCTACCTCTCTGATCCTTCCCAGAGTTCCTATCTCTGCCCAGAAGTCCTCTGTATCCTTTCCTGCCTAGCTTTTGGCCATTCAGCTCTTTATTAAACCAATCAGAAGGTACCTTGGCAGGACCCATCTTCACAGTGTACAAAAAGATTATCCCATAACAAATAAATCTCTGATGTAAAAAGTATGCAGTTGATAAAGGAAGTCTAGGAAAATACATACATGCTATAAAATTTTTATTAGTATCTCTAATGATGTTTTTAGAAGTGAAATAAAAGGGCAGCAATTTTTCTTGTTCTGTGGGGTTTCGTTACAATTTTTTTAAGATTTGCGCGCGCGCGTGTGTGTGTGTGTGTGTGTGTGTGTGTGTAGGCATGTGCGCAAAGTACCCACCAAAACCAGAAGAATGTCAGATCCCCTGGAACTGGAGTTAAGGGGAGTTGTGAGCTGCCCAAGTAGGTGCTAGGAACTGAACTAGGGTCCTCTGGAAGAGCAGAAAGAACCTTTAACTGCTGGTGTTTCTCCAACTTCTTATTTTACTTGTTTGAAAAACGGCTTGAATCCCCAGCCTTTGTGTTCAAAGCCCAGCTGCCTGCACTTGCCTGGGACCTAAGCACCAATAGAGGGTGAGCAGAGACAAGATCCACAGAACTTGCTGGACAACTAGTCAGGGCCATAATAGAATGTGAGAATACAGGAGAATTAATGTCTTTTAAAGGTGTGGATTTAGAGGCTGGAAAGATGCCTTAGCAGTTGCTGTTTTTGTAGATGGCCCAGGTTCATTTTCTAGCACCTATGTGGGTAGCTTAGTGCTGTCTTTGACTCCAGTTTCAAGAGATCCAGTACCCTCTTCTGGCCTCCCTGGGGCCCAGGCACACACAAATACACAAAAATATATGAAATACTTTTCATTGCCTAAAGGTATTTTGGTGATTATTGCATCTAGTACATGAAGTAAACTGCATTTCTTAGAGATAGGGATTATGGTGGCCAAATAAATTATATCACTGCTTGACTACTGTCTACTGAGTGAACTGTGATCCATTATATGATAATTGTTTTTGCTTCAAATAGATACTTGGTGCTTGAAAAACTGAGGAAAGAAGATGCTGACCGAATTCATATATTCAGTTCTTTTTTCTATAAACGCCTTAATCAGAGAGAGAGGAGAAATGCTGAGACAACTAACCTATCGTAAGTCAGATCTTAACAATTCATTCAGTAGTTATTCCTTAGAATCCGTGGGTATTAGTTCGCCATGTCTCACATGTGATAGCACATTTACAGACGTTCATGTCTGTAGCTAGAGTTTTCCTGCCTGGCCCACAGTCAGGACAAATCTCTCTCACCCGCCAGTCCCAAGCCGCTCAAACCCGATCAAGTAAACACAGAGACTTATATTGGTTACAAACTGTATGGCCGTGGCAGGCTTCTTGCTAACTGTTCTTACAGCTTAAATTAATCCATTTCTATTAATCTATACCTTGCCACGTGGCTTGTGGCTTACCGGTACTTTACATCTTCCTTGTCCTGATGGCGGCTGGCAGTGTCTCCCTCTCCAGCTTCCTGTTCTCTCAATTTTCCTCTCTGTTAGTCCCGCCTATACTTCCTGCCTGGCCACTGCCAATCAGTGATTTATTCATTGACCAATCAGCAACACATTTGACATACAGACCATCCCACAGCACCTCCCCTTTTCTTTTCTTAAAAAGGAAGGTTTTAACCTTTACACATCTCCAAAGTCAGCTTGGTATATTTGGGAATTTGGGCGTAGCTTCTCTTACTACTTCCTGTTGGAGGGGGGTGCTGTATCTTCTGGGGAAACAAAGAAAATTTTAGGATCATGGAGTAGTCCGTGAGGCTGTATCATCTGAGCCACTTGTCTTGAAACGGCTCTGGATGCTGGATCATCTGGGCCATGGTGTCATCGGAGACCTTTCAGGGGGTCTTGGCTGGTCAAACCTGATGTATCTTACTCTGGAACAAATCCATAGCCTCTTGCTTTCTGTGGAAACAAAAGAGACTCTTTTCTAAAGCAACATATCCTTACATCCAAATTTTGAAGTTAAAGTATCTTTAAAATATACGTACTGGTTTAACTCAGCTTCCTTTACAATCAAACATCTCTCTGTAGTTAAGAATCCCAAAGACAACACAATCCAGACTCTCTGTGTAATAGTCATCTCTACGTGGCTTATTTTTTATATTAATTTTACTGTCTCTTTAAAGACTTTATTTTTTAAAACCATGTATTTGTTTCTATACTGTATATATCACCTTTTTTTGTCTCTTTCAAGCCTACGTATATTTTACATACATTTTAAACTATTACATCTGAATCTGTCTTATTGTGAATCTATTGCTTTAAGCTGCAGCAGCTGTGGCTGCTGGCTCCGCCCACCGCAGCTTCCCAACATGGTGTGGTACTTTACCACCAGCTCTGGGAGCTATCGTGGGTCTATGCTTTTATCCAAGCAGCGTGTAGCCCAGAAACCTCTTTTTTTGTTTTGTACTAGCAAAGGCTAAATCCACAATGTAGCTTAATGTGCCACTTGCAGAGGCCTCATTCCCGCCATACTGCAGGTCGAGCGCGCATGCCAGCAACCCGCCAGTAGCTCAAACCGGCAGCTGCCGCTCATTTGAGAGAGACAATTAGGAAGCTGTTTTTAGCTCCGTTTTAGAATCTTTTTTCTCAGGTTTTAGGTGGAAACTCTTGCCCCACGTTGGGCGCCATTTGTAGCTAGAGTTTTCCTGCCTGGCCCACAGTCAGGACAAATCTCTCTCACCCGCCAGTCCCAAGCCGCTCAAATCCGATCAAGTAAACACAGAGACTTATATTGGTTACAAACTGTATGGCCGTGGCAGGCTTCTTGCTAACTGTTCTTACAGCTTAAATTAATCCATTTCTATTAATCTATACCTTGCCACGTGGCTTGTGGCTTACCGGTACTTTACATCTTCCTTGTCCTGATGGCGGCTGGCAGTGTCTCCCTCTCCAGCTTCCTGTTCTCTCAATTTTCCTCTCTGTTAGTCCTGCCTATACTTCCTGCCTGGCCACTGCCAATCAGTGATTTATTCATTGACCAATCAGCAACACATTTGACATACAGACCATCCCACAGCACATGTCTTGTAGATGAAATGTTGCAGTATTTGCTTTTGACCTGCATATATTCTTTCAGATACTTTATTTCTAGCATACTTGTACTAGAGTGTAACACAGTAAATATTTTTTAGGCTGTGTTTTTTAATGGGTAATAACAAGGAAAAGTGTATGTGTCTTAAGAGTATACTTTCCCTCAAAAGTATTTTCTATCCTCAACTTGTTGAATTCATTAATGCAAGATGAAGGGCTCATGATATTTGAAAACAAAGCCCAGCAAAAGCCTCAAAGATCTCTGTATTCACCTGCTTGTTTCTTGAGTGTGCCACCAGGAAAAGCACACCAGGTCAGATTTGTTGTTTTTCTCATGGATTTATGTTCAGCTGCCGTAATAATCTTGCACTAGTTTAAGGGATAACTTTTAAAAATCATTTTTCTTTTACTGAGCAGCATCATTTATTTGTTTCTACTCTCTCAAAACAATGTCCTTGATTATCTTCAGAGGTTGTAGGTTTAATGCCTAGAACAGTGGTGCCCAAATAGGACTTATTTGTATTTCTTAGATGGTTATGAAGCCATCATTGCTGTGCTAAGCTCTTAGAATGATTGTTCTCATAATAGTTCAGGAGATTCTATTCTGCTGTCACACCTAAGTTCTTTACAGGTCATCTCTGTATAGTGAGGGCATTTAGGTCTTAATCTTAGATTTAATCAAAAGGCTCAAGAGTTGGGGCTGCTATGTCAGATAAAACTCCATTGTCTACTGTTTATGAAGTTCCTAATTTTATATCATAGACTTGAGATAGATTTCTGACATTGGCCATAACTTATGGTGCTGCTCTGTGTCTTGACAAACAGTGCGTGTTTTACTTGCTCCCTTACTTTCATTTACCAGTAAGTCATGCTCTGTTAAGTATCTCAGTATAGTTACCAATAGCAGCACTGACTGCACCAGTGAAATGGTAGAGACGAAAGAAATTCATCCAGGAGAAGCACTTAAATTCCCAAAATATTGTAAAATGAACTAAATCCCCTTACCTGCAGATTCAGTGATGAGGTTTCATGCCTCCCCTATCTGGCTTCATTTAAAATACTCTGTTCATGGGGCCAGAATGATGGCTCAGTAGTTAGGGGCACTTACTGCTCATGCAGAGAGCTAGGGTTTGGTTCCCAGCACCAAGTGGCAGCTAACGGCCATCTGTTACTCCAGTCCTAGGGAATCCAGTGCGCACCAGGCACACATGCGATACATATACATATGGTCAAAACACTCATACACATAAGATAAAAATAAATAGGTTTTTAAGTTTTAAGATACTGGGTTCTTTTCTCAACTTGTTAAAGCATCAAGTGAAACTGTGAGGTGTTACAGCTGGATGTTCTAATTTGTAAGTCGCTATACATAAGCCATAACTGTAATGACACTCTAGAAGGTGATTATCTGTTTCTTACAGAATACAACAAAAAAGACATGGGAGAGTGAAAACTTGGACCCGGCATGTAGATATTTTTGAGAAGGATTTTATTTTTGTACCCCTTAATGAAGCGTGAGTAAAAGTCTTTATGTATTAAAAATACGTATTTTATGAAAGTAAACACAGTTCTCTGTTGGCTCATAAGATACAGAATTTTAGCTACATGCCTTTAATCCCAGCACTCGGGAGCCAGAGGCAGGTGGATCTCTGAGTTTGAGGCCAGCCTGGTCTACAGAGCAAGTTCTTGGACAGCCAGGGCTACACAGAGAAACTGTCTTGGGGAAAACAAAAATACCTGACAGAATTTTGTAGAGCATATTGGACAACTTCTTCTAATTTTATTTTATTGGACAAAGTATAAGAAAGTAATTTTTAAAAATGATGCTTGTGTGGTATAAGATAGTTTGTGGAGATTACCTTGTTTGAAGAAATGACTGGATCACATTGAAGAATTTGAATCTTTCGTTTAAAATTCACTCACATTTAATAGGAAAGGAAAAAGCGGATGAATTTATGCCATTTCCTCGAACTAAAGCATGCTATTAGAAGCAGTCTAACTGCTTCAGTAGAAATGTTCAGATGATATATTGTGCAGCTTTATCATGTGATTAAGATTGGAGAGTTTGTGTTTCTTTGTGTTTGCTTTTACTTTAAAGAACCCATTTGAAAGAATGGTCATTTGTTGTGATCTGGGGAGAGTGAGGTAGAAGTGTGCATGAGTGAAGAAGTACCCTTCCTATTCGGCGGAAGAGCTGTTTTATGGCATGCACTGTGACTTAGTATTGTACTCTGCTTAGACACATCAAGAAATGCTTTACTCTGCCCCTTTTTTATCTCTTTATAATTGAAAGAATTATGGCTGAAATTAGTATTACGTAGGATCGTTTATATCTAATAAGCCTTACTGTGTCACACTAGATTGTAAATTTCAACTGTGTACTAATTATTCATTCTTTTTTGTAAAGTAAATTCACTTTGTAATATGAGGGAACCCTTCCTTTAAAATGTTTTGGACATGTGTGGCTGTAGCCATGGTTTCTTCGAAGAGTAAGGCCCAAGGATCACTTCAACACAAGAATTTGAAGTTAATTTGGACAACATATTAAGATCCCCTCTTAAAACAGATAATAAACACTATGTTTTGGGGCCTAGAAGTGTAGCTCAGTAGCAGGCTGCTTGGCTAGTTTGTGGAAGGCCCTCGGTTCTATTCCCAGCACTGCTGTGCCATTTGTGTGTGTATGTGTGTGTGTGTGTGTGTGCGCGCGCGCTGTCTGTGTGATGTTAATTAGGAGACCTTAGCTCTCTTTAGGGTCAAAGCATCAGTTATACAAGACTGTATTACTATGCATAACATAATAAAATTCAAAATCAAGTTTAAATTTATTCTGCATAAACTAAGGCTTCTTAGAATTTATCGTAAAAAGTAGCACAAGCATCTTAGGAGAAAAGAGGAACGTTGTTTGTAAGAAATAAATAATAAATATTATCTGAGTCATATATAATTTAGAGCCACTATAATCATTATCTTTGTCAATAGAAGTTTCCATTAATCTTCTAGTCATCTTACATGTGATGGAGAACCAATACAGAGGTGCAGGCCAATACAGAATTCTGCAGGAAGGCTACACCCAGGAGGTGATTGATGGAAACAGTCTGCAAGTGTCTAGATCTTACTTTTCATTTTTTTTTAAGAGGTGAAAGCCACAGATATTTGATATGTGCCAGTTACTAGATAGGCCACCATTGGTTTGTCATCTGCTTCATTTAGTAATGATGTTAATTTTTTGTTTTTTGAGATAGGGTTTCATGTAACCCTGGCTAGCCTAACTCTATGTAGGCCAGGCTCCTTGGACTCAAAAAGATCCACTTAATCTCCACCTCCTAAGTGCTGGGATTAAAAGCATGCACCACCATGCCCAGCCTGATGTTAAGTTTTTAAAGATTTATTTTTATTTAATATGTATAAGTGTTTGCCTGCATGTATGTGCACCACCTAGAACTGTAGTAAAAAATGTTTGGAAGGTGCCATTGGGTTCTGAAACTGAACCCTGGGATCTCTGCCAGAGCAGTAAGTGGTCTTAGCCAATGAGCCATCTCTCTAACCTCATGATGCTGTTTTTTTTTTTTAATTAAGTTTATAAGTTGTTATCAGTATTTGCTAAAGAGCACAAACCTAGAATTTGGATATAATCCAGCCATAATAAAATTACCTATTTTAGCCTCTTCTCATACTAGCGATTTATGTAGTTATTTGGCTAGAGGCGGATGTCTTGAGTTCTAGGCCAGAACTGGTCTACATAGTTGAGAGCCTGCTTTTTTGTTTTTGTTTGTTTGTTTGTTTGTTTGTTTTAAAGCTACAAATTTAAAGCCCTGTATTCTTGAGGTTAGCTTCTCAGCACATGTCCTTTCAGTCAGGAGAAAAGAAAGGTATTTTGCCTAGTTTTTAGTGAGGTAACAGAAAATGTATGGCTTCTTAAATTGGCATGATATCAGAATGGTAAAACTGTTAGACTACTATCACCACAGTGTAGGTTGAAAATCACATTATACTATAAATACTGTTTTTCAGGATTTTATGTAGTCCAATGCTGTCCTCAGACTTGATATGTAGCCAGAGATGACCTTGAACCATTGGTTCTTCTTCCTCTCAAGTGTTAGAGGACAGTCTTTTGCCACCTTGCCTGGCCACAGCATCAGGTTTTGAGACACACTTTTTGTCATTTCAACATTTCTAAAACTGAGGTGGAACTTAGAAAGTTTTAGTTATCGAAACAAGGATGTTGATACACTATTTTTGCTGCTTAAACTGACCTAAGTCCATTGTATACTGAGAATGAGAATTAATTATTAAGAATGGGAAAGGAGTATTCATCCATCTTGCCTTATCTATATCTATATATCTATATATAGATATAGATATATAGATATATATCTATATCTATATCTATATATCTATATCTATATATATATAATTTTCCCCCCCCTGGAGACATAGTCTTACTGTGTAGCTCTGACTTGCCTAGAACTTGCTATGCAAACCACACTGGCCTCAAACTCATAAGAGACAGCCTGCCTCGCCTCTGCCTCTGCCTCCTAAGTGCTGGGATTAAAGGTGTATACCATTACACCAGGCTCCATTTGACCTTTTAAACACTGAGACCAAAACCAGTTTTTATGACCTTTGTACTGAATGTTGTCAGATGAATAGCACTTTTCCTAATACTATCTTGGAGTCATCTAAGTCATGCAGAAAAAGAGTTACCTAATGATGTCATGCTGTTCAGGTTGGGGGTTTAGGTCAGTGGTAGGGTACTTGCCTAATATGCTCAAGGCCCTGGGTTTGATCTGTAGCAGTGGATGAAAAAGTGTTTTCTACTGAGAAAATATTTATTCAACATCCTACTACATGACAGATATTATACTCAGCTAATAAGTCTTCTTTGATCTGTAGCCTACCCATTACCTGCTGGCACATAACCCCGTGGCTAGTGAATAAAAAGTTGTTAGTGACTATTAGGCTATACTATATGTCTTTTTTCTGGTGGACTATACAGTTGATAGCCTAATATATGACATCATGAACTTGTACTTGATAGCTAAAACTCCTTAATTATACTTGAGATTTATAACAATGCCCAGATTAGATATGCCATTTCCTTTTGATATTAATGTATTTACATTTTAGCATAGCAGAAGACTAAGGATTATTTAGATACATACTTTTCATAATAAGCTTTTCCGAACAATAGAAAGAGACATGATAAAAATTTGAATGGATCTTTTATTCCAAAAACAAAGATTAAGAAGATTGTTTGTGCCGGGCGGTGGTGGCGCACGCCTTTAATCCCAGCACTCGGGAGGCAGAGCCAGGCGGATCTCTGTGAGTTTGAGGCCAGCCTGGACTGCCAAGTGAGTTCCAGGAAAGGCGCAAAGCTACACAGAGAAACCCTGTCTCGAAAAACCAAAAAAAAAAAAAAAAAAAAAAGAAGATTGTTTGTAAGAGTGAATATAGGGTACATAATCCTAACAACAGCAACAAAAATATTAGTGGTCATTATGGTATGTTAACCATTGATAAAATAAACAAGTGAGAATTGTTACAAACAATACAAGAATTTTAAAAGATCAATGTTTGTTCACAAACTTGCAAAAACAATATTTCAATTGATAGTTATTGAGAAGCATGATGAGCTTTTCCAATGATATGTTTAGTAGTGTTGTTTGTTTTTACAGTGCACACTGGTTTTTGGCTGTTGTTTGTTTCCCTGGTTTGGACAAACCAAAATATGAACCTAACCCTCATTTCCATGAAAATGCAGTCATGCAAAAAAGTTCAGCTGCAGAGGACAGTTGTGTTTCTTCTGCCCGTGAAATGGACAGTTGTCCACAGAACTCTTCTGCCAAGCCTGTGATTAAGAAGATGCTAAACAAAAAGCATTGCTTAACTGTAACTGAGTCCAGTGCTGGACAGGAAGAAAGTGAGCCTTGTTATCGGAGAAACACATACAGTGTGAAATGTAGTGTGAAAAAAAAAAATCATGCTATAAGTGAAAACGAAGAATCAAATAATGGAGAATCTGCATGCCAGGAAGTTACTGATAGAACTAAAAGTGAGAATGGCCTACAGGATGAATGTTTAAATTCTGTACGTCATCCAGGTATGTACTGATATACTATGAAAGAGTAAAAGTTAAAATAGAATTGTTAAAGCTACATATTTTCTCTTGTCAGGCTTACTGAGGTAGAATTTACTTACAATAACATTAACTCACTTTATGGGTGTCACTTAAGTTTTATTAATGTATTCAGTCATGTAATTACTATGACAACCAACATTTAAAATCTTACATTACTCGAAACCCCCAGTGTCTCTATTGCAGTCGGTCCCATCTCTTCACCCCTAGAAGCAGAGCTAGCAGCTCTAGTCTAGAGTTTATGGCACCTCTGAAAAATTCTTGTGTAACAGGTTGTAGACACACGAAAATTAGTGTAATACTACCTACGTGTAGTACATATTCGATAAATGAAAAGTAATTTCATGCTTAGGCTTGAGTTTCACCTGCTTGATATTACATGTATTAAGTACAAATAACTCAAAATTCAAAGGAAAAATAAACCTTGAAATTTGTAATTCTGCCCCAGATATTTCTGTAAGAGATACTCAATCTAGACATGGAAGCTTCACATTTTCCACTTATAAGAGTTTGGATTCATTTTATTTCATAAAAAAAACTCCCTAGATTCAAAATATACAGTAGTTTCATAGGTTTAACTTATAAGACAAATATGTTCAGTCTTCTCAATTTTTAGATTGGTGAATTGAGTTCAAATGGCCAAAGGCAGAAAGTAAAGCTTTCTCCTTCAAATAAAGTGGGATCCCTTTTCCTCGTTCTCCTTCACTCAGTTTTACAGGAAGGGGATACTAATGCCTTTTTTATTTCCTTTCAGCTGTCATGAATTGGTTCTCATTTCCTTCAATTAGAAACTATTGTTTCTAACCTCTTTAACAGAAATCTAAAAGTTATGATCAAAATTCTTTGGTATCAAGTCACTTTCCTCTCCAACCCACAAATACTCCATGTGTTGACTTCAGCCTTATCCTAGCCAGGGTTACTATTGCTGTGACAAAACACCATGACCAAAAGAAACTTGAGGAGGAACGGACTTACATGGCTTATACATCCAGATCACTGTTCATCATTGGAGGAAGTTAGGACAAAAACTCAAGCAGGGAAGGGACTTGGAGGCAGGAGCTGATGCAGAAGCCTTGGAGGGGTGCTGCTGACTGGCTTACTCCTTATGGCTTGCTCAGCTTTCTTTCTCATAGAACCCAGGAACAATAGCCTAGGGATGGCCTCACCCACAGTGGGCTGGACCCTCCCCCATCAATCACTAAATTAGGAAAATGTCTACATGCTTGCCTACAGCCTGTTCTCATGGAGGCATATTTCAATCAAGGTTCCCTCCTCTCAGATGACTATAGCTTGTGTCAAATTGACATAAACTAGCCAGTACAAGCCTCATTCAAGCATGTGTACATCAAAACATCTTACTCTACCCTTTAAGGTTTTGCAGGGTGGCCCCTCACACCTGTTGCAGAGTATCAAACACAGGGCCTCACACACACTAAGCAAGCACTCTGCCACTGAGCTTCGATCTTCAACCCCAAGAATATGTTCAGGTATTATGTGTCAATTAAAAACTTAATCTATTCTGTAAAAATCCATAATACTCAGTGTAGTCTCTGCCTTGCAAACATTAAACCATGCATAGACCTATATAAGTTTTTGTTAGGTAAGGTAGGCTATAGAAAAAAAAAAGGAATTAAAATTATGGAAAATTGCAAATAAAGAACATATTTTTGGTGCTCTACCACTTTGTATTGGTGAATTAGGAGGTTCACATCTGGCATGGCAGCACATGCCTCTAATCCTAGCACTTGGGAAGTGGAGACAGAAGAATCAGGAATTGATGGCCAGCCCTGCCATATAACAAGTTTACGGTCAGCTGGATTATGTTGAGACCCTGTCTCAAAAAGCCAAGAGACACCGGTATGGGAAGGAGGACGTTGCTGAGCTTTTGTAAGGATAGTTTGCTATAATAAGCTTCATAAGGTCCTGGAGCCATGAGATGAACTGGAAAGGGAACAAGAAAAACAAAATTGGTCATTAAAAGCCAAACAGATCAAATCTTTGTCTACAGTCTAGTTCCTTAGGATGCAGTTAAGCAAATTATGTAAACAAGCAAGTATTTAACCTGTAATTCTTTCGATGTCATTATTGTAATTCTTGATTTAAAAAAAATAATAGTTATTTGTGTGAAATTTCCAGAACCAGAAAATGTATAGAATAGTGATTGATTGCTAAGGGGTTTCAGCAGGAAAAGATAAGAGGTAGGGGAATATAGAGACAGTGTTAATATGGGATTTCTTTTGAAGGCTTTGAAATTGACTTTGAGGGCTGATGATGGAGCTCAGTGGTAGAGATCTTGCCTAGTTTTGGTGAGACCCTGATTCAATCCCCAGCACCACCTAGATGATAATATCAAAAACAATATTGAGATGGCGGGTAGTTACACATTCTTGTGAATATATGGCTAGTTTTGAGAATTTGTGGAAGATTGATTCCAGCCCCATTCCACCCAAAAAGGTACCCAAATCCATGGGTCCTCAAGTTCCTCATGTATATACTATTGCATAGTATTCATTTATGGTGTGTTTGCAGCCTCCTTACTCTAAAGCTTCTCTAGATTACTTCCATCATCTAATTTGTTGTAAACACGTAGTTTTAAATAATACTTCTGCTTTTCTCTACTCTTAGTTTTTATTTATGGTGCTAGGGATTGAACCCAGGCCCTATATATGCTAGGCAAGCACTCTCACTTAGCTGTATCCCAAGTCCCTATCCTGAATTATTCGGGGAACTAGAAGGGAAAGGGGCTTATATTACATGTTGAATACAAACAAAAATTTCCTCCAAATATCTTTTTTATAGAATGGATCTCACTGTGTATCCTTGCTGGCCAGGAACTTGCAGACATCTGCTTGCTTCCCTTGTGCTGGTATTAAAGGTGTGCACCACCATTCTATACCCCCTGCCCTCCAATATTCTTGATCCATACTTGGTCGAATCCACAGACAGTGCCCATAGATAGAGAGGGCCAACTATATACTAAAAACCACTGGATTGTGCATAGAGAGGGCCAACTATATACTAAAAGCCACTGGATTGTGCATTTGAAATGGGTGAATGTTATGAATTATATTTTATCACAGCTATTTAAAAATAAGACTAAGGAATATAGCTCAATGAATAGAACACAAGGCCCTGAATTCAGTCAGCAGTACCACTAATAGTATAAAATGGTTTGTTTTTGAACAGTAATCTTACACACTTTAATGTGAGCTCAAATAAAGAAGTGAGAGACTGTGTATTGGAGCACAACTTAGGGCTTTATGTACACCAGCTACAGAACTTCCAAGTGCCCCTGCAAGTTGTTGTTTATTGAGTAGACAGTTTCGTTGGAAGACAGTCTCAAAGCCCTAGTGGAGACTAAAGTATAAAACAATGTTTTATAGAGGTTCCATGATTAACAGGTTCATTTGTCTTTTTCTTGTAGCTGTGTGTTTGTTTTCCTTTCATATGTATACACCTACATCAATTATATCTCTATAATTAAAGGGAAGATCTGTGAAAGAAGTGTTTCACAAAACAATTTCTTGTTGTTTGTGTGAGTGCTAACACTCATGTTTTTTTTTTTAATCTTATTTTAATTCAATGCTGGCAGCATCCCACAGTTTGAGAAGTGGTGCTCTAAAGTGAGGTGGTTGTTGTTCCCTCACCCTAAACACACACACACACACACACACACACACACACACACACACACACACAGTGGTTCCTTAGCTTTTATCAGATGCTTTTGAAGAGCTCATTGGCTCAAAAGTACACTAAGTAAGGGTGCTCTCTAAATGTCACTTTCTCACCTACAGGAGTGTGACTAACCAGTCTTAGAATGATGGCACATGAAAAGTTAGGAGCTCATTAAAAAGTTTGTGCCCTAATTAATTAATGCCTAAGTAGCTAAATTCTATTTTTCGCCTGGCTATATAGTTCAAAAGATGTATTTTAAATAGTTCACATAATTTTAACTCAGATCCATGTAGTTAACAAGTGTTGACTAATAGTGTCAGATAACATGCCACAGTAAATAAATAGGATTATGTCTACAGCTTTAAGGCCAGCTGTTGGAAGGTAATGTATGATATCACTACTTGCCACTTCGTTTTTTCAGCTGGACATCATGTGAAATAATTGACCAGATTGAAGACATGAGGAACATGTGGTTTTAAAATTTTTTTGGGGGGGAGAGGCTAAAATTATTTATTTATTTATTTATTTTCAAGATGGGGTTTCTCTATGTAGCTTTAGAGCCTGTCCTGGAACTCGCTCTGTAGACAAGGCTGGCCTCGAACTCACAGATCCACCTGCTTCTGCCTCCCTAGTGCTGGGATTAAAAGTGTGCATCACCACCGCCCAGCTGTAGATTTAAAATTTACAGTCACACTCAAATAGGTAGATACTGGTCTGCTGAGATGGCTCATTGAGTAAAAGTGTCTGCTACCAAGGCTGGGTAACCTGAATTCAGTCCTCAGAACCCAGATGTTGGAAGGAGAAAACTGACTCCTGAAAATTACACTTTGATCTACACACACAGAAGTGTGTGTACACATACACACACACAGTAAATATCTAAATGTTTGCTTTTTTATAGGATACTTTTGTTTTCACTTATTTTAAAATAATTTTTAAATACATATATGTGTTCTGGGTATGTGCAAGTGCCCCCAGAGGCCAGAGGTGGAGGTGTAGAATCCTCCTAGAGCTGGAATTGCCTCATGATGTGGGTGCTGGGAATTGAACCTGGGTTCTTTTTAAGGGCAGTAATATGTTCTTAATCTTAACTGCTGAGTCTTTTCTCCATTCCCCCCACCCTCCACCTTGTTTTAGACAAGGCCTTGCTGTGTAGCCCTGGCTGACCTAGAACTCACTGCCCAGACTAGTTGGCCTCAAACTTAGAGATTCCCCTAGCATCTGCCTCCTGAGTGCAGGCATTAAAGGTATGCACCACTGCGCCCAGCCTAAAAGAAAGATACTTTTTGAAAGCTGAATTATTTAAACTACTTTCTCCTGTTCAAGTACTAACCAAGCCTAACCCTGCTTAATTTCTAAGTTCCATTGAGAATCAGACACATGCAGAGTGGTCTGGCCATAGACTATATTATTTTTCGATGATTTTTGAAATACTTTAGTTGGTGCAAGGTAAATATTAATGTAATAATACTTTATAGATAGGAATCTGATTGTGTTGACTTTTTAATTGCCTGGGGATGTATACAGATTTTTAGATTTAGACAAAGTTAAAATACTTAATTTTTAAAACAGATATATTGAAGAGGTTATTGTGTGTATAACAGAAGATTTACAATTGTGCTTGATTATTTTAAGTAGTATGTTTCTGATTACAGCATTTTGATTTATATATCTTTTTTAGGAGTACATTTTATTTATCTTCTTTCTCAAGATACCTTGTTTATTAAAAAAAAAGCCCACTTTATAGCTTTGTAACCTGGATTGAAGTAAACTTTTCTACCTAAAATACCTAAAGGTCATTCTTTATGAATTTTTGAAATGTCATACATTCTTTTAAACAATATTGGTATATGTGGTATTAAAGTCTCTGACTCAGTTTCGTGTAAATTTAAAATTTCTGTTAAATACTTGGTTTGACAAGCTTCTTTTATCAAAATGATTGACTTTTAACAGTATTCTTAGAATGAACTTTAAAGAATATCAATTCAGTTTTATCCTATGAACCATTTACTTTTGTGGTACCAACACCTATAGTTGGTTTGTGGGGTTTCATTTTATTGAAAAGTAGTAATATAACCAAACTTAAGTAAACAGTTGCTGGATCTTGTTTATAACTAGTATCCTAACATGACAGTTATATTCATAATTCTTCACACACACCCCACTCCACCCCACCCCCAACCCCCCCCACAGAGTTTCTTTTTATAACAGCCCTGGCTGTTCTGAAATTCACCTTGTAGACCAGGCTGGCCTTGAACTCACAGAGATCCGCCTGCCTCTGCCTCCTGAGTGCTGGGATTAAAGATGTGCACCACCACCGCCTGCTATACTATTATTCTTCTGATAGGTACAGAAGCAAGTCTGTTTATTTGTACTGTTTTTTACCCTTTGTTTTTTCCATGTTTTCATAATTTCAATCTTAAAGCTATATATTTTTATCTTGTAGTCTATTCTATGACTTATAGTTTTGTTTAGGAATTACTGTTTTTGGACTCTTAAAGCTTTCTATTCAGTATCTGGCACACTCTTACACACAGACAGATTCATACACAGATTTATATAACCTTGTTTTTATTTTTTCGTAAGTTTCGGGTAATAGAGTAATAGAACAGTTCTGTAATTTGACATCAATCCATGTTTTTATTTTAAAATAACCTACTTTATATTTGTTGTATTACATGCTGTAGCAGATTTTTGTACCCTCAGCTGTCTTATATTATTAGCATTCATTTTGGTATTCTATCCGCTGGGTTATAGGCCTGAGCTTTTTATCATACAGTGTTTCCTATTGATACAGATGCCTTAAGCAAAATCAGACTAAACTACGGTGATCAGTCAGCTGAAGGTGGTAAAATGCTTGAAGATGAACTCATTGACTTCTCAGAAGATCAGGATGACCCGGTAAAATCAGATGCTTTGTGAGAATCTGTTACAGAATCTTAGAAACTATTCCTTCAACCAGCGACAGAGGCAATATGGCTTCTGGATTGGGGTTGTATTTCAAAACAAAACCAGTTTTCTAGTTTGAAGTTCCTAGGACACATATATTAGTGTTGTTGAAATTGTGATATAGGGTTATATATATAAAATGAAATTGTGATATAATACTACCTGAGAAAGTTTTAATATAAAGTTAATTCTCTTGGAGTGGGGACTGTATAGCTCAGTGGTAGAGGGCTTATTTACTATGTACTAGGCCCTCAGTTTGATGTCCAGCATTGGATAAAATAGAAAATTAATCATGTTTTCTTTGAAAACATTTATGAGCTATACTTGACCTTTGGTCTAGCAATATCTGAGAGGCAAGTAGTAAAATATTCAATTATGTAGTACACATAATTGTAGTATATATAAGAATAGCAAAATTATAATTTTTTTTTTCACTTTCCCAGTACCTTTTTTCTTCTCCAGTGGCTATTTTCTTTTTTTTCCCAATTTAATGTGCATGTATTATAAGAACAGATATTTAATTAGCAACATAGGTGAACTATATTATTTCCTGGATCTTATTTGCCCTAATAAATATCATGAACACTTACATATAAATTATAGTTTTGGAGATAGTTTATTTAAATTGTAAGAAAAGTTAAATGAGAAACTGTAACATACTGTTTCTTAAATTTTCTGTTTAAAAATTATATTTGTTTGTTTTGTGTTGGGACGCACACCTGCGCACCCCAGTGGGCATGTAGGAATCAGCACAATTGCAGGAATCTTTCTCCTTTCCCCATGTGGTTTTAGTACTAGGGAAGACTGAGTTGTTCAACTAGTATCTCCATACTTTCTGCTGCACAGTTTTCCTTTTTGCTCAGTCTGGTGGCGGGGGTTTAGTTTATGATGAATAACTGTAAGCTACTCATTCCTTACTTTACATGACAGGTAACTGCTCTTACCAGACGAGACTAAGGACTCACTGTGAGCCATGACTACGTGCTGCAGGCCTCAGGGTTCCTATTCAGATATGTGGCCTGACACAGGATTAAGATTGTGAAGTTTTTTTATATTTAAACAACTTATATAGGCTTTACATGATGGGCAATATAATACAAATATCAGAAATTTGAAACAAATTTCTTAGCACTACTTTGCACTTCACATTGGAAATCTCATGTGGTAGAAAGGAAAATAACTTTTATTTTCCAGCCATATATTATAAGCCAATGGATAATTGAAAAATGACCTTTTATTTCACAAGATTGTGTGGAAAGGAAAAAGTAACATAAATCCTCCTTCACCATATGTAAACATCTGAAAGCTTGTTCTAACACTAAAGGCCTGGTGAGCTGGCGTATTGGGCAAAGGACTCGCTGCACCTGCTGACAACCTAAGTTGTATCCAGAACCCACCTAAATTTGGAAGGAGAAAAAACCGACTCCACAAAGTTGTCCCCTGATCTCCACCTGCATGCCTGCATACATACACACTTCATATACACATGCAATAGTGAATAAGTCTTCAATGTTAGTGTTTTAGCATTGGATAAATTTAATTGAATAACAAGCTGAATTTTCTAGGTCAGTTTCCTCCCTGGGACTCGAAGTGTTGCCATTTATTTGCAGGAGTTTTGTGTGTGGGGCTGTTTCCTTAGATTATTAGTTATTTCAGTAGCACGTTCTTAATAACTAACCAAAGGCTGTCTTTTACAGGATGATAGCAGCGATGATGGCCTCCTTGCTGATGAAAACTACAATTCAGAAATAGGACAGTGGCACCTAAAACCCACTATCTGTAAACAGTAAGCATTGACTACATCCTGCAAGCTGTGTGGTTTTTGTTTTTGGAGTCATAGAATGAAACACAACAGAACAGTTCTAACTTAAGCAGAATTTACAAGTGCTCTCAGGATCATGGAGGAAAAGTGGGTATGCTGTCCAGAGATCGAACAGGGAGGCCATTTCTGGCTTCCACTTTGCAGTTTTCTCAGCCCCTGCTCCCACAGATGCTTATACACCTTTATAATGAACCACTATAACTTTGTAGATAATATTTTTGAGGAGAAAACACCATATATAATCCAAACAGTAGCATGAAGTTGGCAGTTAATGTTAGGTGGTCCCACCCTGCAGACCTGTTTTCTACTTAGAGACTCACTCAGACTTGACAGGATTCTAAGAGAGGAAGTTCAGTCATGCTTCATATCCTGGTGTATCTGAGACTGTGTGCATTACTGAAGGGACACGGTGCAGGTGGGAACTCTGAAGATAGAGTAAGTCATTACCAATTTCTAGAAATACATGTGTGTTCTAAAGTATCCCCAGAGACTCCCAAACCTGTTAAGTGAATCAGTACTGCCTAGTACTACACTTACCTCCTTTTACTTTGCTGTGGAAAATGTTAGCAAAAACTGCATTAATGGACCTTGAAAGGCAAACTTCACTTATAAAAGAAAATATAGATATTTAGAGGGAATGTAACTCATAGTTAAGAGATCTGTAACAGGCCTAATCAGTGTAGCTCAGAGTTAGATGTATGCTTAGCATGTTCAAGGCTCTGAGTTCAATCTTTAGCAAAGAGAGAGAGATGGGGGAGGTAGAATGGAGGGGAGAAAAGATTAACATTTTGGACTACTTTTGCATATTAGATTTCCTCATTTATTTTGAGTTTGCAACATACATCTTTTTTTCTTTTTTTGAGTTTTTCGAGACAGGGTTTCTCTGTGTAGTTTTGGTGCCTGTCCTAGATCTCACTCTGTAGACCAGGCTGTCATCGAACTCACATAGATCCACCTGTCTCTGCCTCCTGAGTGCTGGGATTAAAGGTGTGTGCCACCACCACCTGGCTTGAGTTTACAACATACTTCTATAGAATTAAAATTCTGAAGATTAGATCTGAGTTGCATAGAATATTCTAAAATGAAATCTTGCCTAAAAAATACATTGCGTCATAAACAAATTCTTGGGATTACCTTTTGCTTTTCTCTAAGAAGCTGTAGTTCAGTAGATAGTTAGCAGGTAAGGGCATTTGCTGGCAAGCCTGATGATACCCAGAACTCATGTAGTGGAAGGGGAGAGCCAGCCCCTTCAGCTTCTTCCTTCACATGCATGCCATGGCACATACATGTGCATATAATACTTAACTTTTATAGGGCTCCTTTTTATTATGCTGGAGTTACATTACTATTCTATAATGTAATGTTTAATATTACCATAGATACCTAAATTTCTGTCTGTGAGGTTTGCTTTCCTTCCTGAGTATTTACTGAAACAAAAGAAAATTTCAAGGTTTTTAATAGTATTGATGCATTATTTTAAATTTTCTTGTGCATATATAACATTATAACTCATTTAACTTTTATTATTTCTATCCTGCAGACCTTGTATCCTACTTATGGACTCACTCAGAGGCCCATCTAGGTCAAATGTTGTCAAAATTCTAAGAGAGTAAGTTCAAAACTGTAAACTGCTTGTTTGATACACTGTAGCCGAGGCAGTGTTTACATGTGTGTGTGTTGGTACCTGTGCGTTGTTGTAGGTATTTAGAAGTGGAATGGGAGGTTAAAAAAGGAAGCAAACGAAGTTTTTCCAAAGATGTTATGAGAGGTTCCAACCCGAAAGTTCCACAGCAGAACAACTTCAGCGACTGTGGCGTGTACATACTGCAGTATGTAGAGAGCTTTTTTGAGGTGAGTTTCAGTTCATGGTTATCTGTGAAATAATGAAATAGGTATTTGTATTTCATGTAATGAACACAATAAGAAAATAATTCATCTTAAAAATGATTGTAAAGAACAAAATCTCCCAAGTTAGACACACACACACACACACACACACACACACACACACACACACACACACACACACACACACACACACACACACCTTCCTCTCAAGCCTTTAGAATCTCATCTCCTCCCTACCTTTACATTGAAAGCTTTCTTCCCCTCAGCACCCTTTCTACTATTCCTTCCTCACTCTCATCCTGCAGCATGGCTTCCACATGCCTCTCTTGGAACTCTTTACATTCCCTTGACTCCTTCTTAACCACTGTTCACTGAATGAACCACTGAATCCCTTGTAAAGTCACGTGTGTACATTACTGCATTCCTGCTGCCACTTTCCAAGTCCAGCATGCTGGTGTCATTCTGAGCTGCTACACCAGATTCTCATGCCTTCTGCCTTCTGCTCATCACAGTCCTTTTCCAGAAACTTATCAGGTTACTCTCATCACCTTTATACTTGGTGGCTCCCTGGTGCTCTTGAGCTAAAGAACAAACCCTTCTGGTGGCCTACACTGTACTTTGGCCAGTTGAAAGTCAGTCTGTTTCTTGCTGTGCCGTGTCTCCAAGCCTTGAAGCTCACTCCCCAATCCTCTGTTAGTCTGTGGCTGGCTAACTACATCTAAATGGCAGGCCGATGGTGTTTGTTCTCAATGCACTGCCTACCTCCTGTCACAGTGTTGGCTGAGGTCAACTGTCTTTATCTAGCATGGTGCTGGCCTTCTTTCTTAGGCAGGGCCTGAGAGTAAAGGCTTGTGTTTTGCAGCCGTGGAGACTCTTAGCAGCTCTCAGTTCTGCTGTTGCACAAACAACTACAAACTGTGAATTTGTTTGCTTCTGCTTAAACAAGAACTTTATTGCAGAAATAGGGTATGGGCAGTACTCAGCCCAATAACTGTAGTTACCAGCCTCTAATCTAGACAGTAAGCTTTATAAGCCAATACTGTTTTTATCTCCAGTGGCTAACTCAGTGAATAGATACTGATACTTAACTTCTGAGTGTTGTAGTTGAAATTAAAATGTTACCCATTATAATTTTCTAACAAGCTTTTAATCTTATTTTCAGAATCCAATACTAAATTTTGAGCTACCTATGAATTTGGTGAACTGGTTTCCTCCTCCTAGAATGAAAACAAAAAGAGAAGAAATCCGAAACATAATTCTGAAGCTTCAGGAAGAACAGAGTAAAGAGAAGCTGCTGAAGGCCCCTTCCTCAACAGAGACAGCCTTCGGGGAGGGAGCCGAGCAGTATACCAGCAGTGTCTCAGAGTGACCAGGAGCTTCAGAGCTCACGTGGCGTGCAACTTTGGTTACAGACAGTAAAGAGCCGACGTGCTCACTACTCAGAGGTTTGGGAATGTTAATGCTGTAAAAATGTCACATAAGTAATTTCCAAAGGAGTATGTATTAAGTAAAAGTCTGTAAATATGTTAATGAGGCCAATTTTTCCAACATTTATAATTATTTTTTTCACTTTTAGGAAACCTTTGTTATGTATTTTCTGTTAATAGTACTAAAACTGCAACTTCTAAACACAAATAAACTATTTATAGGAGGAAATGATTAATTTGATATTCTTTAGTGAACTTGTATAATTCCTCAGAGTGTGATTTTATTTCATGGGAATATATATGTGTCTATGTTTTTTTTTTAACCTCTGTTCTAAAATACTCAGAAATGTGAAAATATAATTGTCAGAGACATTTTAAACTAAAAATGCATCTTTATATGCTTGCATACAAGAAAAATTAACATCTTTTCAATTCACACTCGTTGAGTGTGTTCAGAGAAACCCCAAAATGTAATAAATATTTATAATTGTACACAGATACTTAAACACTATTAAGAGCAATCAAAGACAATGCGCCTTGACTTCTAGTGAAGTCTGACTAACTGCACTGGCACCCACTCTGCGACTCAGGTGAAAACTGTCCTGGCAAGTGCAGCTGGAATCTCAGATACCCAATACGACCTTTGTATTATCTTACGGTATGCTGCAACCTGTATGGTAGAACTAGGTAAGAAACCGTTTTAATCTGGGTAAACACAGGAATTCAAATAGGAACTTATTTTTGGTAACTTCTGCTATTTTTTCATTATTTTGTTCTCATTGTTTTGATAAAGTATCAGACCTTTAGCTTGAGTTTTTCTGTGTAAATTACTTTAAAATGCAAAGATCCTCTCTTTAATTGCATAGTGCAGCAAAAGCTCTTATTTTGAGTTTTCCATTTAGGTTGAGAAAATGTGAGGCTAGGCCTGTAGTTCAGTAGAATGCATGCTTAACAAGCTGGAGGCCTCTGGTTTCAACCCCCAGTAGCAAACAAAAATAGAAAAATGTGAAGCTTTTAAAGCCACATTTGTAATTCTTGTAGAGCTCCCTTCTATATGTAGAAACTATTATTTTCTCAAATGAATGGTATCTATTTCTTTCAGGTTAAGTGCAAGACTTAAAATATATGCTTTAAGTCATTTTTGTTAGTGAATTTTTTAATGCCCATATAACAAAAAAAGTGATAATAAAAGGTCATTTTATCATCATCTGTTTTATTTCTAATGTGGCCATCTCTGGCACTGTGAGCCACAATTTAGACTGTTAATGAGTTTAGTGAAGTTCTGGGAAAGATTTGGCATGGGTGAGAATGGTAACAGATAACTTGAGGCTCTAGTACAGATCAAAACAAGTGCAAGGAAAGTCACCATTAGTGCCATCAACTATGTGTGTCTGTTTTACTTTGGCCTAGCTTAACTCTTATTTCTGATTATTTCTTTTCAGTAAGACTTGACAACTGCTAGGCGGTATAATTAGCTCAGATATGTAAGACAAGAGTTTTCTAAAGTTTTATTCCTAACTGAAAAAGCCAAAATGTTTTTGTTCTCTAGTGAAGACCAAAAAACAAAACAAAGGAATTAAAAAACAAAAACTTTAATAGAAAGTATAAATAAGATTGGCAAACTTTAGTTTTTAAATGAACTCTATTTTGCCAAAATTTGAGGGAACTGGAAAAGTTAGTGTAAGGACCAGGTATACTGGCACATGCCAGTTAATGCCACCTGCTTAGGGGTTGAGGTACTTGACCACTTGACCCTGAGTCGGGGAGTTCAAGGTCAGCCCGCAGTATGGTGAGACACTGTCTCAAACTAAAACTATCCTAAAAGCTTGTGGTGTTTTTTTTTGTTTTGTTTTGTTTTTTGTTTTGATTCTTAATAGCTATATTTTATAGTGTTAGATAACTTGTTAAGGTAAAATTACAGCTTGTTCCTAGGGCTAATTCTGGTCAATATTTTTTGTTTCAACATGAAAAATAAAGATTGTATAAATAGTTTAAAGTGGAGATCTACCTAAGAATGTGTGATTAGTATAAGCAGTGTGACAGAACTTTGCAGTCAGAAGTCTGTCATTGACACCAGAACTGCATGAGGCTATCTGGTGACTTCACTAATTAGATAGAGCTGCTGTATTGGTTTTCTTGTTGGATAGAATAACAGCTAATCATTTTTAGAAGAGTTTTAGATTACTTGCATAAAATTTGTATGTGTCTGAGCTCCTGGTAGTTTAGGAGGGAAGGTGTTGGTTAGCCAGTCCCGCCCGCCCCTTTGGCGTCACTGACATGCTTTCTTCAGACAGCCGAGAACGTGATGGAGTTCCTTCAGTTTCACTCAAACCTGAAACAGTTAGCTTTTCTTTGCATGCAGCTTGTGCTTAACTGAGTCAATTAAATGTGGATGGTTTTATTTGACAGCATAAAATGATTTGCTTTGTGTTTTGTCTCCAAAATGAATTTAGTATTTTTCTCTGTGAAGCCTATTTGTAGTCTCTGAAGGCTGTGTTCAGATAGAAAGTACATAACTGCTGTGTGGAGTGAGGGCAGGAAACAGGATTGTCAGGGCACTCTGTAGAGCAGCAGTTCTGTGTCCAGGATCAGCTGTGGAGAACAGCTTCAAGCAAATTAAACAGATTTCTCCACAGGACTTCTCCAAGTCTTTGGTGTGGATATGTAGGATTATTAAGTAAAATTACAGACCACTATATATAATTGGCCATATCTTCTGTTCCAAGAACTCCTAGAGTAAACAACTTAAGATATTTTGTGAACTGACTTTAAGAGAAGATTGTTTTGAAGCTGATTTGAGGATTTAAAAACAATTTTTTTCAATAGTTGAGTTTATTATTTAGAATTTTGAAAATAAATAAATGGGCATTGGTGAAATAAAGTTTTATGAGAAGCTTTTTTTGTAACCATTAGGAAAATAACTTTTGTAAGGAAAAGGTTACAAATTAATTTTTTCACGTTAATGAGTTGATTTAGGGAAAAGAGAATTGATATCTTTTGTAAAGTCATCAAATCCCAACAAACACGAGAATAGAAATCCTGTAAAGCTATGGAAGTGAATTGAAAGGCTGTTTGCAGGCTGCTCCCTTACCTCTGAACCTCTTACCTTCAGAAGGTTAAACTTCCTTCTGACTTCCACTCCATCTTTTATGTTAGAACTAAATTGTAATTGGTGAACTTCATGTTTTTCTTCCATCAAAATCTGTGCAAAAAAGTATTCTTTTGTAAGCTGGAATCGTTTTATTAACATTTTGAATATTTTAAACTTGTCTTACTGAAAGTTGTTCAAAGTTATAATAAAACATGTTATCATAATTAGCTTTATACAAATAACAGAAGACTTTAATTAGATTTTAAAAGTCTTTAAACATTCAGTGTTTTGAGCACCTAGTACATAGTATAGGACCAGATAGATACCATCTTCCTGCTTCACAGTGTGGTGGGAAACAACAGTCATTGGCTTTACAAATGAGTACCAGCCATGAAAGAGTGTGTCTAAAGAGTAATCTCAGGGTTGGTCTCAGAAGGTTAGAGACTTCCTGAAGGGGTAACATTTGAACCACTGGTGGTAGTCTAGAAGAGGAAGAGTAAAGTCTGTGAAATAGAAAGAAAGATGCTTTGGCTTAAAAGGATAATCACTTCACTGATAAAGCATGTACTGAATGCTAGACATTGTGTAGATCATTTTAGATAAATGAATGCACTTCCTTAATGATCTTAGGAGATTCATGTACTGCTAGTACTTCCAGTTTGTGAGACAGATAAGTCCCCAAGAAAGTCTCTTGAATTCACAGTGTTAATCAAAGTTGCTAGGTTAACCTGTACTTGATAAAATTAGGTACAAATAAGATACTAGTGATTTTGTAGAGATGTACTGTGGTAGAGTCTTGATCTCTGAAGTGGGATGTAAGGGGCTGCTCTGAATAAGCTATTTTTAAATGATGTGTAAACATTTGTATAGTTTCTTAGAATGCCTTGTGCAAGCTAATCATGCAGGGCCTTGTAGCCATGTTCAAGATCTTGATCATTACTGAGAAAAGTTACGGAAGCATTTCGGACAGGAGTAACACAATCAAATATGCATGCAGAAAAGAGCGTGTATTAATGAAAATGGGACCAGAATGAAAGCAGTCTTGTCATGAAACTGAGTTCTCAAGGTGAGGCATGGAATAATACATCAGTGTGGTAGGAATGTTGGAAAGACACAGTGGCCCCATTTGAAGTGTTCCTCTTAGGAATATGCAACAAGAACTCGAAAGCTGTTCTTTATCCCAATCAGAAAAGATTCAAAGGCCACACAAGCATATACTGCTGAAAATAGAAAAAGTGATTAATGTTAGACATTACTAACATAAGTGGTAAAAGCCAAATCATTCCTAAAACTTGAGACACTACCAAAGAGATAGAGCATTAATTTTTTAGACAAAACTTTCTATTTTTAAGTACAAACCTCATGAAAAGAAGGTGTAAAATTAGAATTAAATACCAACGTTCCTTCACAGAAAAAGACTAGGTGGGTCTAATTTGAGAGCAACTCATGCTTGATCTAGTTATGCAAGATCTCCAAACTCTAAGCTACCCAAGTGCTTGCATAGTTCTATGCCCTGACTTGGCGCTCCCTGTCCTCTTCTGTCAGCTGACTGGACCCAAGGAAAGAGCAGGCAAAGGAAACAAAACAGGACTTAGTGGAGCAGATCTAAGTATTGGGAATTTAGGTTGAAAATAGGGAAGAATTTGCATATTGGAAGGAAAGAAGATGGTAAGTGGCGGTCTAATAAATGGCCTCATTTCTAAGAAGGATTTCCTTATTTTAACCTCTGAAATAAGACTGTATCTTATCAAATAAATTTGACTTTGTCTCAAAATTAATGGAAATCATAAACGTAAGTTGCCAAGCCTGGTCCCTGACTCAAGTGTGTAGTGCAGTCTACAAATTTACAACCCTAACAGATCATAGGCAAGAGCACACTTGAGGACCACTGGTACGCATGACTTCTTAGTGACGTTGCAGTCAGCTGTGGAAGGCTTGATGCACCAAGCATCCCCACAGTGGCTTGCTGAAGTACTGTATGATCTTGTCTTCTCCTACCTGTGTTTTATACCTGAACTGAGACATGTAATTAAAGTTTTGATTTTTTTTTTATTATGCTCTGAACTTTTCTTTCCTACCTCTTTTGTGGTTTCCCCATATTCATAATATTTTTCTATGCATTTATATAATAAATGTATTAAAATACAATTTTCTTATAAAACTAGGATAACTTTTATAAACACTTTATAGAATCTTGTCTCAGCAGTGTCTCATGGAAATTATTTAGCCTTGTCTCGCTCTGTTCACCACTCTAGTTTTGCCTGTGCTATAGAAACATTTCCAGAACCTTTACAAAAAAAAAATCACCTTTCTTTGATCATGATATCAGTCCAGAGATGCGAAGGGGAAGGAGGGGAGCTGTGCTTATTTGTTGTCGCTCTATCTGATGCAGCTCCTTTCCTTCTTCAGAGTGGGAAGGGAAGCTGGTGGGCAGCAGGTCAGCTCAAAGCTCCCACCTACCCAGTAGAAGCCATGTTGCTGCCCTTCACAGTCTACACACGTCTGCACCTTCTAGCTTCTGTTGAACAGCAAAGCTTGCTTTTACCATTTCTCCAGGAGAGGAAGATTGTTTTGTGACTTCCACAGTAGTGGGCATTCTGTCTCTAGTTTTTCCCTAAAGGTGTTCATTCTTTATCTTCAAGTCCTGTATGCAAAGCTCCTCTTTGTTGCTACCATTACTCTCCTCTGTCGCTGGTTTGGATGGTCTTTGCCGACAGTGTCTGACTTTGTACAGAGCACATCGCCATTTGCTACAGATGTGTAGGGGCTTGTTGTATAGGGGCTGCACTAGCAGGGTGTCCTGCTCCAACTTCCCAGCTACTGGTATCATAAGCCTATATAACCCATACCTGGCTACAAATCTACGTTTTCATTCATTATCATTTATCTAGTAGATTTCATGTATTTTCCATAGCAGAATTTTTTATTTTCATACATTATTTGATTTTTAAAACTTGGTTAAGGAGCTCTTTTTTGACTTGAGGTAGTGCACATTGGCAAATAATTCTTAAAAAGATTTTAAATTGTAAGTAATGAAACATTTATTTCTGTATATGGCAAAAGATATGGTTGTTTTATTCAAAAAAGTTTCTTGAAGACTTTAGTTTGTGCCAGCACCATTTATTAAATATCCTGCTTTACATTTAACTTATAATTCTCATGCTAAATTACTGAGATTTCTGAAATTTCTACTTTTTAAAACTTGGTCTACACATTTCATTAAGCCTGGTCTATAGGACAATGAAAATGCGAAAAGAGGTTATAGATTTAAACATCCTATTAGACAAGGAATGAAAAATGAGAGGTAAAAACTAGTGTTAAAATAGGACATCCAAGGGGCGGGGGTTTAGCTCAGTGGTAGAGCGCGCAGGGCCCTGGGTTCGGTCCTCAGCTCTGGAAAAAAAAAAAACAACAAAATAGAACAGCCAAGCTGGGCAATGGTGGCGCACGCCTTTAATCCCAGCACTTGGGAGGCAGAGGCAGACAGAGCTCCAAGTTTGAGGCCAGCCTGGTCTACAGAGCGAGTTCAGGACAGTCAAGACTACATGGAGAACCCTGTTTAAAAAAAAAAAAGATAGACAGACAGAACCATCAAATGTATTTTGTTCAACAAAGAAAACACAGAATCAGTGAACTGGAGTTATTCCACCATGTTAACATACTCCCTCCAAAACTCAAATCTAGTTTTTAAAAAGATATACATAATAAATTCTTGAGCCTAATGATAAAAAATTAATTTCAAAGGAAAAGAGTTGTGTCTAAGACACAAAAAAAGCTTAAAAAATGAGACATCAGCTTATAACACTGTGACCACAACTTGAAAGCATCAGAACAGGTTCAAGAAGCAAGAGTTTGGCTAGAATATCCACACTTAGAAGGTGCTGGCAAAAATGTCAAGAGCCTATACCAGAAACGTGCACCAAGTAGATCAGTTCATCTGTTTAAACTTTGAGGCAACATCAAATTGTTCCAGGCCATAAAAGCTCTTGAAAGTATGACAATTCATCTATGAAACCCATCTACCTATCATAAAAAGTTCTAGAGGAGGTGGGAGTCAAAAGCAAGGAGACAGGACGAGCGTGTAGCTCAGTTACCAAGCATGTGAGAAGTTCTGGACTTGCTCCCCAGCACTGGATGGAGAGAATGTAAAGAAGTAACAATGTACTACACGTAAGTGTTGTAAAACACTTAAAACCATTTAATGTAAAATTAGGTACAGTCTTTTACAGCAAATGTACTAAGAAAATTTCAGGGAGAAAATGGAACATTTATTTCCATTTGGACTTTTTAAAAGATAATAGAACACATAAGAGAATCAGATACAGTGCCTGGATAAATACACCCAAAGTTAATTCTGACAATGAGAATGTAGAAAAATAATTGGAAAAGAAAAAAAAACTGTAAATGCGATTATGAATGAAACTAACATGTTGCCTGGGGTTGGCAAGATGGCTCAGTGGGTAAATGCGCCTGCTACTAAGCTTCACAACCTGTGTTTGGTCCCCAGAACTGACTCCTCTGAGCACTCTGATCTCCACATGCATCCCCCTACCCCCACACAAAACTTCTTTTTAAAGAAAGGTTTGTTGCCTAAATGAGAAAATACAGGATTTTATTGACAATTATAAACCATAGCCTTACAAAAATTGAAGGGCAGTTTTTAAACAGGAAGGCAGCGCTGTAGAAATGCTAACATCTCCCTAGCAGTAAACCTTCCTAACACAATTAGATTTAACAATAGTAATTTGTATTAGAGCTCCAGGAGTCCGATCGATTAGAGAGAGGAGGGATTCTATAAGCAAGGGACATCCAGATCACGATGGGAAAACGTAGAGACGGCCAGCCAAACTAGTGGAAACCCATGACCTGTGAACTGTGGACCAATAGCTGTGGAGTCCCCAAGGGACTGGACTAGGCCCTCTGGATACGTGAGACAGTTGTTTAGCTTGAACTGTTTGGAGGGCCCCCAGGCAGGGGGATTGGGATCTGTCCCTGGTATATGAGTAGGCTTTTTGGAGCCTAGTGCCTAAGGTGTGACATCTTGTGCAGCCTTGGTGCAGGGAGGAGGGGCTTGGACCTGCCTCAACTGAATGTACCAGGCTCTGCTGACTCCCCATGGGAGACCTTGCCTTGGAGGAGGTGGAAATGAGGGGGAGGAGTAGGGGGAAAGGTGGGAGTGGAGAGGGAGGAGGGGGGATCTGTGGTTGGTATGTAAAATGAATAGAAAATTTCTTAATTAAAAGGGAAAAAATTTAAAAAATTTTCATAAAAATTAAAAGTTTGTACAGGAGGGGAAATACCAAAGAGCGTCCATAAAAAGAGATGAGGCTGAGTTTGGCACTCATCCAAATTGTGTAATTCCAGTGCAAAGGAGACTGAGGCAGAAGGATAACAAGTTAGAGGCCAGCCTGGACCACACAACAAGAGCTCTGAAAAATGAACCAACTGGGTGGGCAGGATGGCTCAGTAGGTAAGGGCACGTGCCACCTAGCCTGAGCTGAGTTTGACCCCTTGGACACCATGTGATGGAAAGAGAACAGATTCCCATAAATTGTCTGTTGACCATACATACGCACACAGGGATACACACAGTAAATAAATGTTAAAAATAATAATGATAAAGAAGATTAGACCAAAAAACAAAACTAAATTAAAAGACCTTCATGTATGGCAAAGCCACTGTGAGTGATATATGGAATCCAGAGAGGATTATGATATGAAAAATGACATGCATTAAAAGGAAGGAGCTGGAGTAGAGGAAAACGGAAGAGATCACACCTAAAGGAGTTATCAACTACACACAGAAGTGAGCCCTGGATGTGGGTTGTGGGGTGGGTAGGGGATACGGGGAGGGTCATATAGCCAAGAACTCCCTAGGTAGTTGAAGATGGCCTTCTGATCCTTCTGCCTCCATCCCAGAGTGCTGAAATTGCACTACCATGCCCTTTATGTGGTGCTGGGAACCTACTGGGCCTTACTGCATGCTTGGCAAAGCACTCTACCAACTGAACTCCACCCTAAGCCCTGTGGGGGGCTTTAGAATAAATGTGTTACTACTGTTAGAAATTGAAATGCTAATTGGTAGATTATTATAACAAATTTTCAATTTTTATTCCTTAGATCTTGAGAAATTTGGCTACAAATAGGATAACCTGGAGAAATTATCCTCTAGATACAACCACTGGTCATAATGTCAAGTTGCTAGGTAACCAAGAAAGCCCAGGGCAAGACTAAGTTCATTAACTGGAGTTTAGTGTAAGCAATAGCTTCAGACTTGAGAGACAATGCTGACATTTACCCTCCTAGAAAAGACAGTTGTTCCTGCAGCTGCTTTTCTTAGCCACTGTCCTCTTCTCAGCACACAGCTGAGAAACAATTCTCATTCTCTTTCTGAAGCAATATGATTTTTTTTAATGTTCCTTTAAAAATACATTACATAAAAGCTGGCTGGGGTGGTGCATGCCTGTAATCCCAGCACTCAGGAGGCAGAAACAGGAGGACTGCTACAAATCCATGGCCAGCCTGGTCTACATAGTGAGTTTCAGGCCAGCCAGGGTTACATAGTAAGACCCTGTCATAAACCAACCAGCCACCCAACTAACACATCCATTACATGGTATTACTACTATTCACAATTTCAATAATACCAATACTAAGGCTTAACCTTAAATGCTACAATATTTAAATGTACTAAGAGTAATATTCTGTCTAGGAACAACTTGGATGCATTGATGATATACCCCTGTTGCATAAACTATAAAAGGTATTTTTAAAATTTCCAATGGGCCAATGAGATGGCTCAGTGGGTAAAGGCACTTGTGAAGTAACCCTGTAACCTGCCTTAGATCCCTGGAACCCACATAAAGATCTATAGAGAGAACTGATTCCATAGAGTTGTCCCATGACCTTGACATGTACACAGTTGCGCCTACACAAACACACACACACACACACACACACACACACACACACACACACACACACCCCACAATAATAAATATTTAAAAATTCTCAGTGTTCAGTAAACAATAGAAGTTTTGTTTTGTTTCGTT